CATGGATTTTCTATTGTTTTTCTGTTTCCAACACCATTGTTTTAAATCCTTAGGTCTATTTAGGTTCTTTTTCTGAGATAATGACATGAGTGCTTAGATTATGCATTTGAGCTTTTTCCCTTTTTTAATGTGTATATTTAGTTTTATATCTTCTCAGCACTGCTTCAGCTATGTATCACAAATTTGAATATATTATATTTCACATTAAATCAGTTCACTGTAGTTTTCTTTCCTTTGAGATCTCTTCTTTGTCTCATGGATTATTTAGACATGGATTGCATAGTTTCCAAGTGTTTAGAGGTTTCTTTTATCTTTCTGTTATTGATGTCTAGTTTGATTCTTTTGAGACCTGAGAACATGCTTTCTATGATTTCAATCTTTTAAATTTGTTGAGGTTTGTTTTATGGCCCAGGACATATCCTTATTATAATCTATAATCTATCTATAAGCCATAATCTATCTTATTATATGTTCTGTGGGCACTTGAAAGCATATGTACTCTGTGGTTGTCTGGTAGAGTGCCCTATAAATATTGATTAGATCCTATTGGTTGACAGTCTTCTACATTCTTGCTTATGTTGTTTAGTAGTTCTATAAACTGAGAGTGGGGTTTGAAGACATCAATTATAATGGTAAATTTTTCTATTCCTCCTTTCAGTTCTATCAGGCCCTGTTTCATGCATTTTGATGTTCTGTTGCGTGGTACATAATACATTTAGGCTCTTATTCCTTCCCAGTGGATTGACCCTTTTATTAATATCATTATGTAATGTTCCTGAGTGTCCAGTAGTTTTCTTTCTGTTGAAGTCCTTTTATCTGGTTTTAATACAGCCACTCCTACTGTTTTTGAAAAATGTTTGCAAGGTATATCTTTTACAATGTTTTTACTTTTGAGTTACCTACATTGTTGAATTTGAAGTGAGTTTCTTATAAACAGCATATTTTCGGATCACATTTTGCTTGTTATTTAAATCCACTCTGCCAGTCTTTATCTTTTAGTTGGTGTATTTAGACCATTTATATTTAAGGTAAGTATTGATGTGTCACAGATCAATTATTGCCATTTAGTTATTTGTTTTCTGTTTTATTTCTGTTTTCTGTTTTATTTCCTGTTTTTCTTTTCTTGCCTTTTTGTGGATCATTTGAACATTTTTGGATTTCATCTTGACTACAGTGTTTTCAAATATATCTCTGTGTAGTTTTTTTTTTTTTTTTTTTTTGAGACAGAGTCTCGCTTTGTTGCCCAGGCTAGAGTGAGTGCCGTGGCATCAGCCTAGCTCACAGCAACCTCAAACTCCTGGCTTCAAGCAATCCTTCTGCCTCAGCCTCCCGAGTAGCTGGGACTACAGGCATGCGCCACCATGCCCGGCTAATTTTTTATATATATATCAGTTGGCCAATTAATTTCTTTCTATTTATAGTAGAGACGGGGTCTCGCTCTTGCTCAGGCTGGCTTTGAACTCCTGACCTTGAGCAATCCGCCCGCCTCGGCCTCCCAAGAGCTAGGATTACAGGCGTGAGCCACAGCGCCCGGCCTCTGTGTAGTTTTTTTAGTGGTTGCATTAAGTATTAAAATACACATGCATAATTATCATCTACTAGTACTGATCTTTTCTTCAAGTAAAGTATAGAAACTTTACTCTCATTTAAGTCCCTCTGTCCTCCCCACTTTTAAAATATATTGCTGTGTTTCCTCTGCATACACTGAATTCCACATGAGATGGTGTTACAAGTTTTGTTTCAACCATCAAATGCTCTTAAACCATATGATTTAAATTAATGAATAGGATAGATTGATATTATTTATCCTTCTCTTTACTCATTCTGATGGTCTTCTTTCTGAAGTTTCAGCTTCTATTATCATTTCTTTTATGTTTAGAGGCAACACAGCCATTGCTATATCCTACCCCATTCTTTAAGTTTAGGCTATAGGAATTTGTTAGCAACAAATTCTTATACTTTTCCTTTGTCTAAGACTATCTTTATTTCTCTTTATTCCCAAAGAATATTTTTGCTAAAAACAAGATTCATTTTTCTGATCTTTTCTTTCAGTAATTGAGAATGTGTCACTTCCTTCTGACCTCCATGATTTCAGATGAAAAATCTGCTGTCATTTAAATTAACATTCCTACATAAGTCATGTTTCTCTCTGCCTGCTTTCAAGATTTTTCTTTGTCTTTAGTTTTCAGAAGTTTAGTTATGATGTGTCTTTCTTAGCATGGATTTCTTTGGGTTTTTACCCAAAAAGGACTATATCCATTACGTTTTTATTTTGATTACTGTATTTTCTAGTTCTATAACTTCCACTCTTTACTATAACTTATTTCTTACTGAGATTTTTTAGGTTTTCATTTGTTTCAAGAGAATTCAATTTCATTGAAGCATTTTTGTGATGGTTGCTTTAAAATCTTTCTCAAATCTGAATCATTGCAATACTATCATTTGTTGGTCTTTTCTCTTTCATGTTGTGAGTTTCCTGGTTCTTGGTATGATGAGTATTTTCTATAGTAGCCTAGATATTTTGGATATTATAAGACTCTGAGTTCTATTTAATCTTCCTATTTTTAGCAGTCAGTCTCCCTGTTGAGGTGTTATTGTAAGAGCCAAGGAGGTGTGTATATTTACCTTTGCACTGGGCTCTGCCAACAGCACCCCAGCAAAAGTGGGCATTGACTCACACTGACTCAATGCAGACAAGAGGTATAGAAGGTCAGCCCCTCCTTTAGCCTCACTGAAATCTTCCCATAAAAGTGGAGCACCAATTCACACTGCTTTTTTGCCTCTAAGTGGTATATAGGACCAGCTCCTTGCCAGGCACTCCTGACTCCAAGAAATGAGAAAGCAAAGAGCTGACTCACATCATTTTGTTGCTGCAGGTGTAGGCTGAATTCCAGCTCCCTGTTGTGTCCCTCTGGCACCAGCTGAAGGGAAGGGGGAAAATGGAATACCAACTAACCCCATGGATAAAGACTTAGCTCCTCATGACAGGAGTAGGAGTGAAGCCTAGTATTGACTAGTTCTGCCTCATACTGGCTTATTAAGTCACATTGATGCTAGGTAGAAGTAGAGGCTCATCTCCCAGTTGAAGCACACTGACATATTCTAGCAGAGCAACTGGAGTACTATCTCCTTCTGCCTGGTAGGAATCAGAGGTCAGCTGCTTGCTTAGTATTGCTGACACTACCCCAGGAGAGGAATAGGATTGCTGCCATACTTATGTCAGGTGGAAGAATGAGCGTACACTGCCTACTTCCGGGAGGGTGGTGGGGGGCAGCCATTGGTATTTGGCTGGAGTAGGATAGGAATTGTCAAAAAAGTTTTATGTTGTTATACTTTCCTTTTCCTAATCTTTTGGCTAGAGGGAACAGTCTTTTCTTGGAGTTTGTTTTCCCTGTGCTTATTGATATTTCCAGGTTGAAGATTTCTAACGTATCCTGTCTGGGATATATAGGAGGCAACAAGGAAACTTACTGCCATTTCATTCCTCAATTTCCAATGTCTTTAGACAATATGCTTTCTTATTCCATCTTCTAGAGTTTTCCTATGCTTATTTATTGTTATATCCAGGGTATTTAAGTTGTAAGAGGAAAGCATTGTGAGTAATGGGGCTATTACATCTTGGTGGGCCTAGAAGTCCCTCTGTTATATGTAATTTTAATGTTTACATGTTAATCGATATTCTTCATTAGCTCATAATGAATCTCACACATCTAGGTATCTTCTACATGTGTCTTGCATAATTTTTCTAACATAGTGAACACATCCTTGGTGAATGCTCAACACTGAATGCTTATTGTGTGAAGACATATACATACCCTAAAGAGGTTTGTTTTGGCCTCAAGCATACAAGGGTACATGAGCCAGCTGTCAGAGTTGAGGAGGGATATCCACAGATGGTAAAGGAGAGAGGCAGCTCATCTGCACTGATGGCATTGCTTTTCTAAGCTCTGACATATTTCTGGATGGTCACCTTCCAGGCTAAAAGACAGTTAATCCTAAAGTATAGCTTCTTAACTGCAGCCAGTTTAATTTGCCCAAGCTTTCTTAGGTCCTCACTGCCTTCTGAACTTTGAAGGATTTCTCTAACTCCAGTATGGACAAGTCTAAAACTGTTTGTGACTGAAATTATGTTGCCAGAACTACAGCATCCAGTTCTTCTCATTAGGCATGTTGGAGATATAGTATATGAGAGTAAATTTAAGGCCTAAATCTCCAACAAATATTTTTCCAATTGTACAAGAAATATCTTAGATGCCTTTCTCTAAGACATTCCTAGCACCTGTCTGTTCTCTTTACTAGCATTCTGGAACTGCAAGAGATTTTAAACTAGACTTCATGGATGGCTGATATTACTGTTTATTATTATAACATAAAATGTTACACTATGCTACCATTTCAACTAACGTAGATTGGAGGCAGTGATTAGCACAAAAAGAATAAAGCAGGTCATTTATTTTTCCCTGTTAAGTCAGAATTTTTGGTTTTAGGCATTTAATATTTAAGGTTGTAGGAGAAAAGAGATTAGTGGCAGAGGAGGAAGGGAGAGTCTCCATGAATTTTATTTGTTTTATATCTCTCAGGCTTAGAACACAAATATTCTGAGACACCAACATAAAAAAGTACTCAATTGATTCCATGAGTGTCTTTGAGGAATGTACTCATCATATGCTATAAAGAAACAGCCAATCATTGGTCACATTTTTACAAATTAGAGCCATGACCTGAAGGTTAATTATCTTTCTTATGTAATTCTATTATCTTCACACTTGCTCCATGAACACACGAAAAGCTTAATATATAGTGTGAGCAGCTGCTTACTTCTGAATCTGGTTGTCAAGGCAAACACATAGGTCGGTTTTTAAGTAAGTGTAGCCATGTGGTTCGAGTTCCTAATGTGCGGTCACAGTGCCACCTAGTGGCTACAGAGATTAACTATAAAAGATGCTGTTTATTATGGAAGAAACACAGAATTTCCCTTTTAATAAAAGATTCACACTTACTTGGAAACCTTATTGATTCCAAAAGCCACTTGTTGGTTAAGAGATGCGATGATTTTGTCCCTCTTTTTAATCTGCATTTGGTTTTCTTGCCACCGAAAAGTCACTGTTTTCAACTGTCTTTTGAAATCCTGATTAACGAAAAATATTATTTCAGTTAATTCTGTTCAAGTTACCAGAAATTGAAAGAAAAAAACGAACAAATGGGGTTCTTTTAAAAAAGAAAATATCATTAAGTTTAACATTTTAAAAATTTCTCACTTCCTCAGATCTAATGGCAAAAATACTTACTTCACACTGATAGTGCAATTTATAAAGCTGTCGCTGATGAGCAAGCCTTTCCTTTTCAGTTTCTCCATAGTCTGCAGTTACCTTGCCAGTTGAGCCCTGTTGAACAAATGGAATATGCATGTCTTATTTCTTCCCTCCCCCCCAAATCACTTAAATTTTAGTTATTTAAAGTGGACTTAAAGTTGCTCTGTTACTCCTATTCATGCTTTTTTCAAATCAAACATCATTATTACCTTAGATAAACCCACCTCACTTCTATTACAGCATTTACTAAACAATACCAGAGTAATCTATCTGCTGCTACTGGGTAACACTAATTGTATGCTTACTATTTTTAAAGCATCTTTTGATAATGCTTTTATTATCATAAGAGCCATATGAGTTAGGCATTTATTATTCCCATTTTAGAGATGACAAAATGAGTAAGTAGCTTGCCCAAAGTCATACAGACAGTTAATTAGAGGAGCCTGAATTCTTATTCAGGTAGCCTTAATTGCCCAAGCAATTAATTATTGCACTATATTATCTTAGTTTAATGTTCAACTTATTTGACTTTACACATTATACTATACAGAGACCATGTCTGAGCATAGCTCTTGACACAAAGCAGGTGCTAAATGGTTTTTGAATAAATGAATAAACATTTTTGAAAGGTATGTGATACTTTGTATTTTCAAGTTCTCATAATTCTTATAGCTATTGAATGAAAACCAGAGTCCCATATTTAAACTTTAATGTGACATCCAAAGATAAGAATATGTTACTTTAGTTAAAATGTACATATTCTAATTGAAAAAAAGGAAAAAAGGTATGGCAATTATATGAATATTGTACTATCAGCCAGGGAATCCTCTGTACTAACTGTACCCTTAGACAATGAATATTCCTGCATATATATACTATTATATTTAAAATACAGAGCAGATTATCATTGAATTCTCATGAGTGGGTAAAATAAGCTGTTTTTTTTTTTTTTTTAATTGTCTCATTTGCTTTGCCTAATTCAGTGTTGTGTTGAGTAGTTAAGTTGTGTTTATATGCCTCTTCATATATAGGTACATCATTCCAAGCACTGACTACTACCAGGAATGGAACCAGAAAAAAATGTTATACATTAATATTTTTTATAGATAATTCATGGTAGCAACAAGATTTAATTTTTAAAACATGGAAGTAGCTTTGTTTTACCTAACTATTTTTCTCATTACATTTAATCCAGTGAGATTATGCCAGTTTTTTTTTTCTATTGAGGTAGTAAAAAACTGTTTGCAAAAAATCCATCTGTAATCAACTTTGTCCCATAGTTAAAGCCAGGAAACGGTTTAGGGACTAAAGTGAAAAGTTTCCAGCTCCTACGGGTTCTTTTTTTCTTGTTCCATTTTCTTTCATATACTCCCCATACCTCTTTTCCTGTTTTAGCTCACTTCTAACAAAGGATAAACCACTGGGTTTTGCAAAGACTGTGCTGTTCAAAGAGTCACAGGGAAAACAAAGTAACAACTATATCTGAAAGAAGAAAGGCAGGGCTGTATCCTCTTCAGTCATGCTTACCTGTTCTATCATGTCCAAAATATGCAGTTCATCCAGACTATAGATCTTGTCTTCAGTTGCAGAATCTTCTTGAACATCACTTGCATCATCTTTCATAAATCTACTGGCTGAATGTGGATTTGCTTGTTCTTGCTTCAACTGCTCTTCCTTTTCTGCCATACATGGTCTACAGTGGTAACATAATTATTGTGATCTTTTATAATTATATAATGCTTTTCATCTAAACTATTGTTTCCCAAATTAGAATTGTACTAGTCTCAGGAGATGTACAGCATTAGAAGAATTCATGGTCAAAGAAAGTTTGGACAGTTCCCATACTGTGTCTTTCTCTTGAAGATTCACAATGAACATTAGCATATTTGAGATAGCACTCAATCAAGGTAACTATTTAATTCTGTTCATCTCAGTGTTTTCAGGATTTATGAGACTACAGTGTTCATTTTTCAAATTATTAACTATCCATATCAGTTACTTTCGGAAACAGTACTTTGAGAAATATTGGCAAGCATGTCTACATCTGCTTTATTATTTTACCATCATAACATTCTTTCTCCCCCCCCCCCCAATTTTCTTGAAAAGTAGGTTGGTTTAATCAACTTCAGTGCTCTGGTCCAATGTACATTTAAATAAAGGGTTACAAAAAGCAGCATAAAGTAGATTGTAAAATGGAAGTTTCTTTTGTAACAGAACTTACAAAAAACTGTAGTAATAACATGGATTTCAGTAACTAAACGACTAACAGGGATCACTTAAAAAAATAAAAATACTATAAATACAATGGCAATTAACCAATTTTTATACTTATGTTTAAAATTTAAATGCATTCTACTATCCTTTCACTTGGCTTGCTACTTAGAAGTTATGAATTTCCTTCCTAATCTCCTTGAATGGTAACAAGAAACTACTTTTACTTACAACATGATATAAAAGACTTGATTTTACTAGTGAATAGAAAACTCGAGGATATATTATTACTTTTTTTAAGCACACTGAGATCTAGGAAAAAAATGACATCTAATGCCTGTAGAATAATTCATAAAACACTATAGAACAGTCATCAGGTATGACTGGGGTATACTCTAGAGTGACCCAAACGTTTTGAAAAGTTCAATGAAATCAAACCACTGGTTCTCAAGCCCAATTAATTTTCTAAATTACTTGAAGAGCTTTTCAAAGATTAAATGTTTTTAGGTACCCTTACAACTGTCAAGAATATAAATGAATTTGTACTTTTGAAAAGCTTTCCAAGATTATTCCTAAATTTTTTAAGTACAGTCAGGTGTTACTTAATGTCAAGGATACTTTTTGAGAAATGTGTCAGTAGGTGATTCTGTCATTGTGTAAACATCATAAAGCATACTTTTACAAACCTAGATGGTATAGCCTACTTATATACCTAGGATATATGGTATAGACTATTGCTCCTAGGTTACAAAACTCTAGAGCATGTTACTATACTGAATACTGTAGGCAACTGTAATACAATGCCAAGTATTTGTGTATCTAAACATATGTAAACATAAAAGAGGTACAGTAAAAATATAGTATAAAAGATAAAAAATGGTACACCTGTATAAGGCCATGAATGGAGCTTACAGGACTGGATGACTCTGGGTGAGTCAGAGTGAGTGGTAAGTGAATGTGAAGGCCTAGGACATAACTGTATATAACTACAGACCATATAAACACTATAAACTTAGACTACTAAATTTATTTTAAACATATAGTAATTGCACTATGACGTTATAATGGCTATGTTGCTAGGTGACAGGAATTTGTGATAGGAGTTTTTCAGTTCCATTATAATTTCATGGGACCACCATCAGATATGCACTCCATCATCGACTGAAACATTGTTATGTGGCACATAACTGTACAATAATAGCATTGGGATAATATAGGAAAGTATTCATTTTCTAAGAGATGCAAACTAAAGAAGTAAAATTATAATAATGTTGGGATTGAAAACATTTCAATAAGGAAACAAATGTCAAAGGAAGTATGAAATGTGAAAAACAGAGAAAACTGTTGAATCAGAATGATAGGTACATATACTATTCTCTTTACTTTTGCATATATTTGACAATTCTCATTTAAAACCAAAGCTGCCTGGGTGATTTGATAATCATCCAGATTTGGATCTACAATGTAAGCAAAATGATTGATAACATTGTTTCATCTTTATTAAGTTATTTTTATGGAACACAGAACACAGCCTGAATAAAAAACTTACTGCTCCAGTGACTCAACTTGCTGCCAAAGAAAATGAAAACGCACCTAGGATGATAAACTATTTTACCTATCAAGTGGATCATGTCCATTAACAACAAGAAAATATCAATTACATGCAATAGCTTTAAAGTTCACAAAATATGTTATAACTGCCATTTTAAAAATACCTTAATTTATGTCCTCAGACTTCTCTAAATTTACTAATATTCAGGTTAAACTTTTTGGTGAGAATAATTATCTCTTCATTGGACTATCTCCCCCTTTCCTTTATCCACTGCACTGTTTTCAATCATGCACAATATATCTCACAGTGATCTTTTGACAACAAAATGTTTTCTTTTTTTTTTTTTGGAGACAGAGTCTTGCTTTGTTGCCCAGGCTACAGTGAGTGCCGTGGCATCAGCCTAGCTCACAGCAACCTCAAACTCCTCCTGGGCTCAAACAATTCTGCTGCCTCAGACTCCCTAAGTAGCTGGGACTACAGGCATGTGCCACCATACCTGGCTAACTTTTTCTACATATATTATTTGACCAATTAATTTGTTTCTATTTATAGTAGAGACAGGGTCTCGCTCTTGCTCAGGCTGGTTTTGAACTCCTGACCTCGAGCAATCCGCCCGCCGTGGCCTCCCAGAATGCTAGGATTACAGGTGTGAGCCACCGCGCCCAGCTCAACAAAATGTTTTCATTAAAGGATCAAAATTCACTGTCAACAACCAAATTAAAAAACCCCTCACTCACGCCTGTAATCCTAGCACTCTGGGAGGCCGAGGCGGGTGGATTGCTCGAGGTCAGGATTTTGAAACCAGCCTGAGCAAGAGCGAGACCCCGTCTCTACTATAAATAGAAACAAATTAATTGGCCAACTAATATATATAGAAAAAATTAGCCGGGCATGGTGGCACATGCCTGTAGTCCCAGCTACTCGGGAGGCTGAGGCAGGAGGATCGCCTGACTCCAGGGAGTTTGAGGTTGCTTGTAGCTAGTGACACCATGGCACTCACTCTAGCCTGGGCAACAGAGTGAGACTCTGTCTCAAAAAAAAAAAAAAAACCCTCAGGTTAAATAAATAAAAAAAATCAAACCAAACTTTTTGGTAAAAGGTGACTGGGGCATAACAATGATTTGTCCTTTAAAGTTAAGTCTAAGTCTAGATTTGGCTAACCACAATATACACTATATTTGAAAAGGTTTTATGCTAGACCCAAATTAGTCCTTGAATGAAGCAGTTAGCATTAGATGACTGTTGAGTAGCTTTATAGAAAAATGGTAACAGATTCTATTCTTCAAAGCAAATGATAACCTTTTAAAAGTCACATTCTTTTAAAAAGTAGCAACTTATTAAGACAAAGAACTGTCCTTTTTTTCTCTTAGCAAGAACTCCTCCCAAAGGCTGTATATTGGGAAAGTACACTTTGAAAATACTAAGAAAAAGTTAAAAATTAAAAAAACTAATACTTACATTTGCTCTTCTTTTGAGTCCTTATTCTGAAAAATAGCATCAAGAATTAGTAATCTATATCAACTATGTCAATATAACATAGTGATATGATTGCATTTAGGTGTTTCTCAAATTTTATCACCATCATGGTAAGTAATACATTTTATATCATGATGCTATATGCACTTACACATACATTTTTATATATAATATAAAACTGAAATATAAGCTCTATGAAATAAACCTTATTCAATGTGATGCAATCTAGTATCTTTTATTTCTATTTATTCTATTTCCTCTTTTGAAATGGTGGCTATGGCCCACTAAATTGATTTTATAATCTACTACTAAGTCTTGAAATATAACTTGAAAATCACCCATTAAGATAATGATGGTGAATACTAGGGCTATGTTTATACTTTCTGGTATACATTGGGACAGGGTGTATATAATTCCCACTTATTCCTACACTAATTACAAGGGTTCTTAAAAATCTACATATAAGAAGAAATCAGAGTTATATATTAAGAATCTTATAAAAAAAAGTGTTAAGGAGATCACAATTGGGAGAAAATCTTAAAAAGCTCTAAATGCTATGCTTATTAAAATAGAACTATAAAGGCATCAAATCAAATAAAAGTAATATCAATAACTTTAACACATATTAAATTAAGAGTATCACAGCTTTAATTTCTACCATCTCTTTCTTACAAGAAACTTCAGTGTCTCCTTCTCCACAGATACAATGCTATTTGTACAAATTTGTTTGCTTTCTTGTCTGTACACCAAGAGGATTTTTGTGTTTCAGTGTCTGATCTGCTCAATGTCCAGTGCCAATTTAATTCTATGATTTAGAATTATTGACTGCTGCCTTGGTTCTAGTGTACTTGAATACCTAAGTTGGAAGAGACTTTTGGTTGTTTATAATGAACATATCTAGTATAGTTGATTATTTCTCAAATTCCTTTTTGGCTCATCCCATGACAACTTTATGCCAATGCATATACCTGCCTCTCATATATGTATCTGTCAACTTCCCTCCTGAAGTTAGAGAGGACACCTAATTTGAGGGACTGGATTTATTTCCTGTCATATTTCTTTTTTCCCAAGGCCTCATTACAAAACCTTTGTATTCTTTTGCCTAGCCTAATCCTGGGTAGGGGATAGGAGGACTTAACCCTCAAAAGAGTTATTTGTTTGGATATATTATAAGCTAAATACTAAATACCTAACTGAAAAAAAGGGAACATATACAGTAGCTACAAAATTCCTACACATAAATTAGAAGTTATCTGCATTGTCTCCTATATTTACTATACAAATTTTATACTTTTTCATCATAATTCTCTGGAAAGTCCCTGATAAATATTTTTAGGACTGTTTTTAGGTAGACATGTTACAAAACAAATAATTAACAAAAAACACAATTTCATGCATGAGGACTTTGTCATCACTCTGTATATATAAAACAAGCAAATTTCTAAATGGTAGAATTTTTCATGAGAACTCCTGATTAGAGAATTTTGTTGACTTCACTTTTTATAACTGGTTGCTTATACTACAACTAGACAGACAACTCTTTGTACCTATAGTAACAGTAATTGAGTATTTGAATAGGATTATTCCATATGAAATAGTCATATGTACAAATTTTAGAATTTTTTAGATCCTATAGCATTTGTAGGTCCTACTTTAAAACACAGGCAAAATATACAAGATATAAGATATAAAATCTCTCTACTAATGTACAAATTTCATATTGATAAAATTATCTTATTTTTCAAAAGTATCTCACAATTTTAGGATGTTAAAGAAACAAAAAGTTCCTAGATATTTGCTAATATTTAATAAGAAATTTTTAATGTTACTAGTCATGAATTTTTGAGTAGTGGTTTTATTTAGTTTTAGTTGTGTTTGTTCCCTGTCTAATTTCAATTTGATGTAGAAATGGGATTTTCCATTTTTAACTAAAATTGGGAATTTAAGTGTTACCATATATTAATATTTTGGAAGTAAAGAAGAGACACACTATATACCCTTGGAACTCAGCGTTGTGGTTTGACAGCTGTGAATTTACTTGGTTAGCTTTATGTAATATTAGACCTGGGACTTATATAATATTTTGGCAAAATTGAAAATATGACTAAAATAATGAATTAGGCTATGTTTTATCAGATAAGAACTGTCTAAAAGTGAGGAAAAAATCTTCATGCTCATGTCTTTAAAAAACAAAACCTAATTTTAAAAATAACCTTTGAGTGAAATTATAAGTTATAATAAATTATGGTTATGATAAATATGAAAATGATATTGATATTGTATTTATCAGACTAGGAGTACAAACTTTTTTCTAACATCCATAAGCATTTTATAAATTCATCTTTATTGTCTTAAGTTTCATTAATAATTAAAATTTGTATATACTTTCAAATGAATAATAACATAGGCTCACCAGATTATAGTTGTGCAAATATTCAGTTTATAATAAACAGATTATACCAAGATTTTAAATATATTTTTCAGACCAGAAAATTAACATTTTTTTCACCTCAAAGTTTTCATAGCATAGTGGTTAGCTATATGCTTGATTTTAAAAAGTCTCCTGGCTTTCCAAGTAATTAAGAGACTTATTGCTAAAACTGCTCTATAGTGACTTGTTCATTTGGCAACTGGCAAAAATCAAAGAAGAGGCGATGAGAGAAACTTGTATTTGTACTATTTTTGTACATTATTGCATTGTTGGCACACTCTCAGATATAACGAAGAAAATCAAGATTTCTTAAGGTTTTAGAAAATGCTTCTGATCTTATCAGTATGGATATGACAAAAGCAAACTGTTCTTACAAGAATGAGGATACATTTTTAAAATGAGTCGTAGGTAGAAATTCATGAACTTTCTAAGTGACTCATTCAGTCTTTGGTTGTATATGCAAATGTATAAGTTATGATTTAGGGAAGTAAAGTAGGGTATCAATCAATCATTCAGGATATAACATAAGTAGACTCATCTATAATCATATATTTAATAAGTGATTGAATCTTCATGTTATATATCTGCTTGGACTAATTTAAGTTCTAACAATGAATTCATATATTGAACTTAAGTCTTCATAATTAGACATCCCTCTATTATAGTGTTAATGCAGTCTCTTACCTTTTTATTCTTTGTCTTTTTCTTTTTCTTTGCTTTGCTCTTAACCTAGTAGGTAAGAAATATATCATTTACTTAATATGCAATTCAAAGTGCACAATGGGTTCTTTTGCAAAATGTTTCCTCTAACCATTGAGATCTCTTGCCTTCTAATATTTTAGATAATATTTCAGATAATATTTCTTTCTAAATTCTGTTAAACAATTATTTTCATTTTAATCTTAGTCTTCTGCCCTTGAAAAATCACTGACAAAAAAGAACTCATAATGTCAATAAGATACAGATAAAAGCTCACAGATGTTCACTTGCACAGATGCATGTAACAAAGAAGGCACTTTTTAAAAAGCAACATATTCATGTCCATACGATGAAACATTAAGCCTCAAAAGAATTTAGTGACTATATAACTGTTACCACTTAACTATAAAAAAAAATAGAGATCTATCCTGTCTGATTTTAGTTCTACCTCTGTGCAAATAACATTGAGAAGTTTTCTCTTTCCTATATTCCCCACTACACTTTCTTCGATTTCCTACTATCCTCCCACATCTACTTCCATTATTCAGGATAAAGAAATGTATTCAGAAATCTAGAATAGTGCCTGGCACATAAGTGTTCAATAACTCTTGGCAAAATAAATGGTTATGGAAGTAAGTACTGAGGAAAGAACTATTCCAATTCAAGCACTGTGTGAACACTGTAATGAATATAAACTAAGATTGTCTGGAATGCTTTAAGTATAGCACATGCAACAAACTAAAGCCCAGAATATGTTCTTCTAATTCAAATATTAATGAGAGCTCATACTTCCTGGATATCTTTAATAGATTCTGTTGAAGATTCACTGGGTATTGAGGCTCCATCTCTATTCATTTCTGCAAAGTGTATTTCAGGGATTGAGTTCACATTTATATTGTACTCCATGAGAGGTGGACTTAGTTCTTCTTCCTCATTCTGTAATTCTTCTATTTCAATACCTAAATATTAAAGACAAAATCCTTAAAATCTAGATGTGAGCAATTTCAGCCTCTTAGCCTGTAACCAATTAGTATGAACCTGAATGCTATGATATCTTGCTGGTATCTTGAGTAGATCTAGATATTAGGTACTCTAGAACTTAAGTAGACTCTAAATTACTAAGTTTTTGAGTATTCTGACATTGACTATTAAATACTGCAACTAATATTATTTTAGGACATAAATTTTAAACATAAAGAAGAGAAAAAACAGCTCTATTTTTTTCTATTTTTCTTCTTTTTCATAGAAAAGCCATTAATCTCCTGTTTTGTGACCTTTCCTTTGACACCACAACCCTTGATATTGCCCCAGAGATTCAGTCTCATAACTCATGGACTTTGTCTGACTGGTCACAGACAGTCTAACATTTAATTCCAAACAAAGTCATGGTATTGTTTTCTTAAGTATAATGTTAACTGCAGAATATGAATTACATTAAAAAATAATACCACAAAAATGGAAATTAAAAAAATAGCATCTCACCGTATGGCAAAAAACTGTATAACTATAAACAATGGACAATGAATCAGATAAACCTATACATGCTAAATAGCCCAAATAAGCACATAGAGCAAGCAGAATTTATCTGACCAAGTGAAAACCCCGTAAGTATCCCTTAGGTATCCCAAGTTAGAAAGTCCCAACTTAAGCATTTTATTGTAAAATATACTTACGCTGACTGCCTGTTATTGACTGTAGAGCAATTCCTATGGTACATAAAGAAAAAAACTTAGATGTACAATTGCAAATGTAACCAATAAATGTCTTACTGGAATTAAGAAAAGATTTTTACACTGTAACAATTTACTCTATAAATAACAAACTTTAAAAACAACCAGTTCTGCTCATGAATCTAGAATATACAAGGCACAATATTTAGATTATAATAAAAAGGTTATAAACCCATGATGAGAGAAAAAAATAAACAATTTGATAATTCATAATAGATAAAGCCTGGAATATAAGCACTTTAAACCAAAAAGCAAATCCTTACTTTTTACAGTCTAAGGCCATGAAATAATAGTTGATTGGTTATAAAGCAAACCTCCATTGAAAGTTTGAGCCTTTTTTTCTGAATTACCAGAGCTGCACTTCCTTTCTTTGCCCATTAATATTTATTATATCAGACTGTGTTAGCCTCTAAAGATTGAATGGTGAAGAAAAAGACAACCTTCATGGAGATTTAGTGGGATGATGAATATTAATCAAATTAGCATATATACATATAAAAACTGCAAGTGTATTGGTTAAAGAAAGACATATAAAATACCAAGAAAGATTCTATTAAAGAGACTTGACCAATAAGTTCTTCAGACTACCAGAGAGAGAACTGCTTAAGATGCCTTGAATTAATTTAGTGCTCAAAGCTCTTTCCCAAATTTTACCTTATTTTCATGAATATTTGTTTAAGAGGACTGGGATTGGAGCATAGCAATTATCTCTGGAAAAATCTGGACCAGTTCAACAATTACCAGAAACTTGAAAAGTTGTATGCTTAAGTAGTATCAGTGTGGTCATCAGTTGCTCTCAGTAACTTGGGACTAGGACAAGTCACTCTAACTAGCATAGCAAGGGTTTCAGTGATGTTGACATGCCTTGAATTCTGCTTTCCTAGAGTACAGCTGAGAAGTGATCCTGGGATGTGAGACAGGGAGGCTGAAGTTTTCCTCATATCAATAGACAAGTCTCAGAATAGCCACTGCTGAATGTAGACACACAAATGTTATCTGATTGTTTAAATTACCCATAGCCAATGGATAGCTGCTAAAATTTTAAACAAAACATCAAGGTTCTGCTAGAAAGAAGAAGAAACATACACCACTGTTTCTAAAAGGGCATCCTTGAAACTACACAGTACCTACATTTTATGGTTTTAGGCATCCCTAATTTTGGGATAAATTTCCTCTAATTAAATGACAGAGGAATGATAAAATTCCTCTAATTAAAAATCTTCAATGGGCCGGGCGCGGTGGCTCACGCCTATAATCCTAGCTCTTGGGAGGCCGAGGCGGGTGGATTGCTTGAGGTCAGGAGTTTGAAACCAGCCTGAGCAAGAGCAAGACCCTGTCTCTACTATAAATAGAAAGAAATTAATTGGCCAACTAATATATATATATATATAAAAAAAAATTAGCCGGGCATGGTGGCGCATGCCTATAGTCCCAGCTACTCGGACAGCTGAGGCAGAAGGATTGCTTGAGCCCAGGAGTTTGAGGTTGCTGTGAGCTAGGCTGATGCCACGGCACTCACTCTAGCCTAGGCAACAAAGCGAGACTCTGTCTCAAAAAAAAAAAAAAAAAAAAAAAAAAATCAATGATTCTTTTCTGAAAATGCAAAGTCCTTATATAGTAAAGAAATTCTTTTGAATGTCCTCTGTTAACTCTTTCTTTAATCTCAGTAGTGCCAAACTTTTTAGTTTCTTGCACTATAGTATATTATAATAAATATATATATTTCTATATACCTTTATTCTTGTTTCCCTCTAAAACATTCTTACCTATCTTCTTCACTTGGATAACTTCTACACATCATTTAAGAATTCTTTAATTATTATACTCTTAAGAAAACTTTTTCAGACTCCCTTAGACTAGGACTTTCCACGGTATTCTGGAAACCTCTCTAGCACTGTAATTTCTGTTACCTTCTTGATGAAGCTATTTCTCCTAAACATGTCAGCTCAGTGAATCTGCTGCCCTTTGCACTGCACCTGGCACAGAGCAGACACTCAATGAAGGTTTTTTTGGCTGAAATAAATAATTATTTAGTACCTTGTTGATAGCAGGATAACATCCTCTGTATGATTTCTGGTACTGGTATGCCTAAGTAGATGGATAGCTGATGGTAATCAAGGGAGATATTTTCAATGGGATTCTCCTTCACTTTGTCAATATCCTCTTGCTTCATCCCAAGGCGCAGAAGAATATCTGAAACTTTTTTCCAGATTGAATTGAACTGTGACTCAGTGAGACCATTCATCAGAATCTCACTAAGGAGAATATCCCTGTATTTGCACAGCCTCAAGATGTCTGCAGACTTAGAGAGATCAGAAGATGGTGGTTCCATATTCCAGCCTTTTTTGGGTGCAGGGAACACATTCAAATGTTTAATGAGAGCTAACAGGAGACATAAGTCAAACTGTTTGGATTGTGGTAGCTGCTTATTTGGGGGATAAAGCAGATGCCATGATCCACCCAAAGGATGATTGGTCCAAAGATGGTTGTAGTAGGATTCCAGCACATTCTTGTGTATATGAAGCTCTTTTCGCAAAAGAGGAGGTGGCATAGCCTTATCAAATATTTTCCGGACAATGTCAGTACCAGAAATAATAATTATATGAAGCAGATGATAGAAATAATTATAATCAAGTTTGAAGATAGGCATTTCATCTGAAAATGAATTTTGAGAAGTCAAGACATTCCACATTAATGCTCTTTTTCCATATGGTCTTTTACATTACACCCTAAGCTCCTGTTGGATAGAAACTATTCCAGAAGAATGAAGTACAGCATAGTGCTTTGCCACAACCAGTGCTCAATAACCATGCCACTTTCTGTCTGGTTGTCAAAAAATCCAAACAAAAACAGTATGTTCCCAAGGAAAAGTAATCACAAATACTAATCATCACAGAGGCTTTTCAGCCATCCAAGGTTTTGTTCAAGTAAATGAGCTTTGGCAACCAAATGGCATCAAAGTAGTAGGTCTTTGAAAATTCTGAAATTTGCCAAGTATGATAATTGCCAATGTTTCATTATGCTTTACTTTAATAATTATACATTATCCTAATCAGCACTGTCCAAGAGAACATTCTGTGATAAAAATATTTTATAGTTGTACTGTTCACTATTAATTGAGCACCGGAAATGTTGCTTATATGACTAAGGAACTGAGTTTTAAACCAGAAGCATAAGCATCCACCTGAAAGTCTGTTAAAATGCAGAATCTAAGGACCCACTCCAGACCTACTGAACTGGCACTTGCATTTTAACAAAATCACCAGACATTTCAAATACAAATAATGTTTGAAAATCACTATTCTAATAAGCCTCATGTTTTTACCCCTTCAGAAAATAAATTAATGATTAAGTATTTCATCAATGAAAGGGAATAAGGCATGAGACTGAACTATTTGGCATTTTTCTCGTTTAGTAGTCCTTCTAAAGGAGGAAAGCAGGTGAGGTGAATTGGAAAGTAGTAATAATTTGTTATAGGATGGTATTTGGTTTTTGTATAAATATCAAAATATGTGTTTATCATAAAATGAAGCTTTGTTATATTATTCTTCACAATTCTGTTTCAAGAAATTTTTTAAATTAATATTTTTGCTTGAAATACTTGATATACACTGTGGAAGCAAACAAAGTTAAAAAGCAAATGACTCAGGGAGCTTTCTCTGGGTTGCCAAACATGAAACTAGCTGGGATTAGGATACCCATTTCCCCTAGGAAGACAGACTGCTAAGAAATTATTTTTCCACAGAACCAGGGGCCCTTAAGGTCTCCAAGTGCTGGGCAGGGCATTTCCTAGCACACTCCTAAACTGCTGGAACCTAAGTTTAGACTACTTGGCCCCAAGCCCAAAATGTTCATTCCTTCCATTTAAGGCTGCTCTAACACTTGCTCTATTAAGATGGAATGCAAGGGAGGAGAGGTAGAAAACCTCTGTTGGAGCACAATCTCATTATGTAGTCACAACTTTGCACGAGACCTAGCATGCCTCTCTATAGGATGGCCAGGTAATGTGAGATCAATACTCCTGCTGGTCTTTCTGTCTGAGTTCCAGCCTATACCAATTGCTGCTTGCTGGTGTAACCATAAGCCCAGTGAACGACAAACACAAGTGAAAAAACACGGTTGTTCATGGCATGACAATTTAGAGGGGGAGTTAAAATTTTTAACATACTTTTCAATAGGAGGCATATAAAAATAAAATAATACCTTTTGTATTAAATTTTAAACTGATCTTCGGTCTTATGTCAGTATCAGTCATTTTCAGAGACATCAACTTTTTATAACTGCAAGTGGAAGAAAACTAAGTTGTAGTGAAAATAATATCAAAGGCAATCAGTATTTCTGGTATTAACCTGGTTAAGTAAGCATTTTCATCTCCTGCTCTTGGAAATAATTCAAAAAGGAAAAAATGAATGAACAAATAAAAACCACCAACAATGATAATCCCACATTGTTGTTATCATTGGAATTAACAGGGAAGGAGTATTGCTAGATTTCATACAAAAAGAATCACAAGACAAGCTCACTAGCAAAAAGGCTATGTGGTAACAGAAAAAAAGAAAAGAAAGCTTTTTATTGTATAAAAAAAAAAAAAGAAAGAAAGAAAAAGACAAGAAAAAAACCTCAAACCTGGAACTCCTTCCTGGCCCTGCCATTAACCACATAAATTTTTTATCAATACCTATTCCAAGAAAACTCAACTCCATTCAATAACTAGTAATTAAAAAAATAAAGAAACTGATATAACATTAATACAAATAATTAGAATAAACAGAGGGAGGAAATAGCAAAATTTATTAAGTAGACTAAACACTAGGTAAATGTTGGCATTAAACAAATGAAAAAACTTGTGGCTTTGCTTTGAAATGAACCCTCCCACAGAAAACAAAACAAATTTGCAACAAGGATTCCATAAAATAAAATAAAAAAATAAATATATAATGGACAACAACATTAGAATGGAAGTTTAAGAAGGATTTTGGCAGTGGTTGTTTTTCTTTGGTGGTGGTTATTAACTGATCTTATCTCCAACACCACTATAACACTGTCAACTATGTACTACACTGGAAAAATTTAAAACTCTAACAATATGAAGTACTGGAAAAGATACTGAATAAAAGGAAAGCTCTAATACTGCTGGTGGGGAATATCAATTGGTAAAACCACTGTGGCAAATAGTTGAGCAAAGTCTAGTAAAGTTGAAGATATGCATAAATGGCCTAGCAATTCCATTCCTAGGTATATGTTCTGGAAACTTTTCTGCACATATACATCTAGAAACATGTACAAGAATGCCCACTGTAACATGTTGTTAAGTCTGAAATTGGAAATAAATATCAACAGTAGAATGATCAAAGTAGGGTAGCGATACAATAAAAAATATAGCAATGAAATGAAAGAATTACAACTATAATAAAAGAATGAATTATATAAACATACTGTATGTAAAAATGTATTAAAATGTTTCCATGTATATAAAGTTCAAAACAAATAATTAAACTATACTTATAGGTAATAATATATTATAGAATTTATAAAATATGTACAAGTTAAACATAAGAAGACAATAGCACAATATAGCACCTCTTGTATTTTCCTGGATAGAGCTGGAACCCATTCTACTAAGTGAATTATCTCAAGAATGGAAAAACAAGCACCACATGTACTCACCAGCAAATTGGTATTAATGAATCAACACCTAAGTGGACATATAGAAATAACATTTATTGGGTATTGGGCGGGTGGGAGGGGGGAGGAGGGGATGGGTATATACAAACATAATGAGTGAAATGTGCAACGTTTGGGGGATGGTCACGCTTGAAGCTCTGACTCGAGGGGAAAGGGGGGCAAGGGCAATATACGTAACCTTAACATTTGTACCCCCATAATATGCTGAAATAAAAAAAAAGAAAACAATAACACAAAAAAGGGGAAGAAATGAAATATATCATTGTAAGGTTCTTATACTATATACATACTGTGGTATTTTATTATTCAAAACTGGATTTTGACAAGCTAAAAATGTGGATAGTAAGTCCTCAAGCAACTACTGGGAGAAAAAAGGTAAAACCAATAAACCAAACCAGAAAATAAAAAACAAAGGACAGAGAATACTGAAAACAACAGGAAGACAAATTTAAATCCAATCATATAAATAATTATAGCAAATTTATATGGAATAAAAAAACCAACTTAAAAGCAGAGATTGGATATAAAAATAGCAAAACCTGTGCATCTACAAAATCTCTCTCTAAATTTGAAAACATATAGGTTGAAATAAATGGATGCAAAATGATGTACCATGCAAACACTAAGCTAAAGAAAGCTGGAATGTCTGCATTAATATCAGACAAAAGAGACTTAAGGCAGGAATATTATCAAGAATGAAACAGGATGTTATATAAAGATAAGGGGTCAAATCATCAAGAGAAAAGATAACAATACTAAATGTGTATGTAGCATCTAATAAAAGAGCTTCAAATATACAAATAGACAATAGACAAAGACAAAATATAAATAACAGACTTCAACATTTCTGAGGAACTGACAGAAAAAGTAAACAGATAATCAATAATGATAGAGAATGCTGAAACAAAACTTTAACTTCATCAAACGTATGTACTCCACTCAACAAGAGCAGAAACAGATTCTTTTCACATGCAAATGGAACATTCACCAAGATATATAGTATCATGGGTCAGAAAACAAATTTCCACATATCTTAAAAGATTGTAATGATAAAAAATATATTCAGTGACCACAAGGGAATTAAACTAGGAATCAATATCTGGAAAGATAAGCTGAAATATCCCCAAATGTTTGGCAATTAAACAATACTCCTAAATAGCCTATGGTTAAAACACACATACCCCACACACACCCCTAGAAAACATTTTAAATGGAATAGAAATAATGAAACTCTACATATCAAAATGTATGGGACACAGATAAAGCACTGCTTAATGTGAAATCAGTCTGTAAAGAACAAAGGTCTCAAATCAATGATCAAAACTTTCACTTTAAGAAAATCGAAAAAGCAAATTAAACCCAAAGCAGGCAGAAGCAAGAAAATAACAAAGAACAGAAATCAATTAAATTGAAAATAGAAAAATATTAAAGTCAATAAAATCAAAATTTGAATTTTTTGAAAAGATCAATAAAATTGAAAAGCCTTCAGCCAGAATGATCAAGAAAAAAAAGAAAAAAGATACAAATTACCAACATTAGGAATGAAAAGTTGACATAACAAATAAGGCAAGGTCTCTCTGGCTGAAGGAACCAGAAAACTAAAGGGGAACCATGGGCAATGAAGAGAATGGGGGAATCCCAGAAGGGAAAAAGAGTTAGAAAAAAGATCCCCAAATTCTCTCTAGCCACATGTCTCACTGACCACTAAACTACATGTGTGGAGCAGACTAAAAGCAGCTCAAGTAAAGGCAAAAGATCTATACTGAGACTGGAATCACAACCCAAGAAAGAGAGTTCAAATTCATATCCAAGTTAATGGCCTATCAGAACAAAAATAACATTACCCATTGGGGAATAATAGAACTCAGAATCTCTACATTTATTATGTATTTATTGGGTAACAGCTATGTACCAGGCATTATGCTATGTACTGAGAATATACTAGAAAGTAAGACAAAAGTCAATTCTTGCCCTCATAATGGTTACAGTGAAACAGAAATATAGCCAAAAAAGCATAAAAAAATGTTAGTAAGTGTTTTGATGGAAGAAATAGAGGGAATACATGATAGTAATACCCACTCTAATCTAGGGCATTCCAAAAGTTTTAACTAGGCAAAGGCAAAGGCAAATGCAAAGGCAAAGGAACAGAGTATTGCAGGCAAGGCCTGGAGACAAAATAGTAAAACAGTTTTACCTCCATGTATATATAATAAAAACATGGAGGTTTCTTGAGATGGCACACCGAACAAACTCAAAGAAGCTCTCAGTATAGTTGGTGCATATATGGTTCACAGCAAAATGACAAGAGATGACACCAGTGAGTTCAGCAAGGTCTAAGGTAAGTAGAGAGCCAAACTAAAGAGTCTGAACTTAATTTTTATGAGCAACGAGAAGCCTCTGAAAGATCTCCAAGCACAAAAGTGAGATATTTCCATTTTTATTTTAGAAAAATCCTATTGATGGCTATGCACAAAACAGACTGGAGAAAAGCAAGGCTTTATGAGAAAGGCAAGAAGCTATATGAGAAATAATGATAGCCTCATTTAGTTTAGTAAAGTGGGGGAGGTAGGACAGAAATAAGAAGAAATTTACAATATATTTAAGAAACTGAATTGACAGGACTTAAAAAAAAAATTACAGAACAGTGTTGGAAAGAAAGATCACAAGTCCAGTTTTGGGTATGCTGAATTGTACATATTTGTGAAGAATAAAAATGGAAATATTGAGCATGCAGGGAGGAGGTCAAGATTTTAGGAGAGAGATCTGTGCTAGAGATAAAGATTTGGGTTTCATTAACCCATAGGGAAAACTGATGCCTAGACATCAATGTAATGTCCCTGGTAGATAAATGATAAATATTTACATTTTAAACAGAAGAAAAAGAGAAAATCAGTGGATTAGGAGAAATTTTTATACTGAAACTTCTAATTTCCATAGCAACACTCTACTTTTTATTAATTCCGAGCTTATAATGCATATTACTCTACAGTTTTCTCATCTAAGAAGCAGGAAGCTTCTGTGAGACAAGCTTAGTGACCTGGATGAGTTTTGAAAGATAATAGAAAGTTTTTATTTCCTAACAACCTAACTTAAATAATTTTGAGAAAAATAGATCTTATTTTCAGAGAAGGATTACTTTCACACTTAAGGGAAAAGTATCCACATGATTTCTCCCTCCCTGCTTTAAAATATAAATGTCCACAATAAGTGGGGATGAGAGGGAAACAAATGGCAATTAAACACGATTTTTTTCACATAGTTAATAATACCTTAAAATTTAATGGAGCTCCAACAGGTGACAGAAACACAGAAGAAAGAAGCAACTAAAAATACATATATGCCTAGAAAAAAGTAACAGAATATTTTATTTCAAGCTTACCTTGCTCCTAAATTTTCAATGGTTATATATTCATCCTTTCTCACAACTTCAAACTGCAAGTAATAGAAAAAAAAAATCTTAAAGAAGTTCAATTTTCAAAATTCTTTAATGTTATTTCTTAGCCTTAACATTTGAAAAAAAGACAATGAGAATGAAGCCATAGTAATAAAAAACAAATAAAATAGAAGTAACAAGGTGAATAATAAATGATCCTGATCAAACAACAAACTAGAGTTGACCTTAAAAAGCAGTTCTACTTTACATCACTATAGGATTTAAAGGTCAAATCTGAAATATAAAAATAGCGTATCTAAAGATAAAGAAATAAATAAGATACACTTCTATTTATAATTTGATCTATTTACTTATAAACTGAAAATTCAACAAGATATTTCATTAATTAAAAGAACAAGATGGATAATATCAGAGTGCATCTTTTGTAATTGATACTATATGTTGTATTCTATAGATATTTTCACAGGACAATATTTACAGACTCAAAGAGGTTCAGAAAGTCTATAATTATTTTTAACCTTAGGTGGCACCAAATTAAGTAAATCATCATCCTTGTTTCATAATACTTTCCTCATTGGTACACTCATGGCATATTTTGTCTCTGTTTCTCTGTGTGTTTCTCTAGGCCTCTTTATTTTTTAAATATTCTTGTTCTTAACCACTTCGGTACAGCACTCACCCGCCGGGAAACCTTGCCCAGAGCCGGCACTCATAGTCCACACAATAGTTTGTGCTGTGCATTGATGACAAATCCATTTTGCTCTTGTGTGATGAGGAAAGCTTTTAAGCACTGAAAGCTTGTTTACTTTACAGGCAGCTCTACTTGTAATGTAAATCAGAATAGGTAACATTTATGTTTTCATTATGTTATTTTCAAATGTTCTCAATTTTATTTGGAAAAATTAGAAAAGTCATATCACAGCTGTTGGCTAAAGTGGACGCTCGGCTGTGTACCTTCATATCATGGCTGTCGGCTAAAGTTCCTGTGCGCATTCATCTGTGGCTATCGACTATAGTTGATGCTTGTACCCAAGTGGTTAAGGACCACATAAATACTACTTTAGATAAATAATAGCGATACAAAAGTCAGAGAGCTTGTCACCATCAAAGAGAATATAAGAATCCTATTATGAATAATAACAGGATTCCCCAAATCTGTTTCAAGTAAAAAATATTATTCCAATGAAGAAAAGCAAGAAAAATGAAAAAAGATACTTACCAAAATTTTAACAATTCCAGGTACATCACACTGCAGCATCCTTACCATGTCACCTGCACATCCTTCCTTCAAACATTTTTTTCCACTAAAACTCTAAAGTTATTAACAGAAAAAATAATAAAAATAAAATAAAATCACTGATGTACAAATCTGATTATACTTAAATAAAGTTAGATGCAAAGGTTGTTAGATAGAAAACTGAAAGATGTGAATAAACACTTGAAGTTAGTTGTTAAAAGATAGTCCATTTCATATATCAATGGATTCTCTGTTTAAATACATGCTTTCAATTTTCTCGTCATTTCTACTTCAAAATCTTCAAGTAGCTATATTAAAACCTAAAATGTACTTACTGCCCCAGGGAAAGCAACTTCAAGTAAAATGTACTAATTTAGTGAGTCTAAAAAAGATTACTAAATTTTTATCAGATATATAAGAATTCCAGGGAAAAAGAAAGAATAAAAATGTTGAGTCCTTTCTTTAGTTCTGCCCTTGCCATTTCTTCTGGTTAAGTACTTCATTTTCTTTTATTTCTGTTTCTGAAACTGAGCAACATTAATTGCTAAAACAATCACAGAAATTATAAAGTATTTACATACCACTTAAAAATGAGTAACATAAAGTCCTAGATCAATTGGGGAAAAAATGAATAATAAACAATGCTTTATATAATTATTTTCAGTTTACAATGCAAGTTCACCTATTTTATCTGTTAATTTTCATAAAGGTCCTATTAAGTAGGTTTATCCTGTCCTCACTTTAGAGCTTAAAAAATTAGTCTCAAAGCAGTTATATTATTAGTCTAATGTAATAAAACTAGTAAGTGACTCAATCTGGACTTTAACTCGGCGATCTCTAAATTCTATATCCAATGCTACATGTGCTACTACACCACAATTGCCTTATAAAGTGTTTTCTGCTGTTTGCACATTGTAAACACTACAGAACCAAACCTATGGTCATTAGCTTGCTAAACGGTAATTAATACAGAATTAGGCTTTGGATTTCTACTTTAATTTTAATGGCAAAAAAGTCAATTTATTATGTAACTAATACAACTAAATATAAATAATTCCAAATATATTTTTGAAGACTATAAAATCAATTCTTGTTCTCCTCCTCTAAAACAGAAATTATCCTTAAAATTGTATAATTATCCTTTCTGTATATTTATTAAGCAATTTTATTCTTTGATTCCATGTCTTTTATGTACATATATGCAACAATAGTTCTATTCTTAGGAGTGCAATTTCTAAAGGGAAAGGAACAAATTGATAGAAATCACTAAGCAAAGCAACTAATAGAGTATTCTCTACAGAGAGCTGTTTAATAAATGATGACAATAAATGAAGAGTGATGAGGAGATAAGCAACACAGAGAATTGAGAAAGAACAAAAAAGTAAAAAAAGAAAAAAAAACAAAAGAGGTAGTAAAAGGAAGGAGGGAAGATGTAAACAAGAAGAAATGAAGGGGAAGAGGACAAAAAAGAGGAAAGGAAAGAGGGAGAAATGCTGTAGTAAAGTTTTAAAAAGGAATATTATACCTGATCATTTTCACCTGGATATTTTAAATTCTTGAACTTTCTCCAGCAAATTTTATGGAAATAAACACAGCAACTTTTACTGCACATTAACTGAAAAAATCCCTGGGAAAAAAATATAAGGAAGCTCTTGATAATGGAAATAGTCATTCATGCAGATATGGAAAATACCATCTCAAGTCACTTTTAAAATTATTCTATAACTAGATGAATTTTACACAACATTCAAAATTTATCAGCAGAGATCAGAGATCACCAAAAACTTTCCAAGTCATTTTTACATCATTAAAGACAGAAAAATTAGGACAGTAAAAAACAGGCAATAATTCGAACAAATCAAAGTAATATTTTCTATGTGCTATGTACAAAAAAATACCAGAAACCCAATGAATGACTTTGTTGAGGAACATGCTGTCCACCTCTCTTCATTTCCACTTTTATTTATTTATTTTTTTTATTTCGGCATATTATGGGGGTACAGATTTTAAGGTTTCAATAAATGCCCTTTCCCCCCCTGTTTCCACTTTTAAATTTCTCTTTTCCTGCAGCCCCAATTCCACACCATTATTCTCGTAATCTCCTCTGTTACCAATCAACAGAACTCAGAATTTGCTGCCTTGGTTCCTGAGCTACCAGAAGTATAGATTTCTTGTCCTTCCCATTGTGCTCTCCCTGGAAACTACAGCCCTGCTTCCTTTAAACTCTTTTCTGACAAAAATCTAGATTGCATGCCCAGGACTTTCTGCTGCTATATATTGTTCATTTGATTGGAACCCTGAAGACTTTTAGAGAAACCTTAGGACCATATCACTATATCACCTAAACCAATACTGAATGTCCTGGGCCCTACGCATTGCATCTCACCAAGTTCATTTCCCAATCCTTGTCTTATCTGAGTGAATAGATCTTGGTCTTCTCCTTCTCTCCACCTCACCCATTTGCTGTACACATCATGCCTTACAACTGAGATTTCAGTTATTTTAAAGAAGTGTTGTCTGTTTTGCACTGATAGTCACATATTCTCATCCTATCTTGTGATTTCACAGTCTTATTCTGATGGATATCCAAAGAGATCTAGCAAAAGTATTCTGATTGTTGAATTTCTTCCAATCAACGCTGGTTACACTTTCCCTTGCCAAAGCCCACAGAAGAAATAATGATCACTTATTTAGTAACATAATTCCTGAGGAGTGACAACCCTCCTCCTGGGTAAAATACTACTATTTTCAACCTCTAACATTTCTAATTATAAGGTAAAGCATTTTTTAGATCATTTTTACTGTATGACTGATCACAGGGATAATAATATAACTTCAGAGGTATGTGAATGTTACAAAAATCTTAGCAAAACCGATTCCTTCTTTTATGAAACCATAGAATATAAATAATTCCTGCTTACTTTGAATCTAAGTTCTCAGAGATAGTCAAACAACCTAACTGCTTTACCATTGTAATTAAACTAAATATTCTTTTAAAATAATATTTTGATGCATAATATAATTTTAATCTAAGTTTAATTTTATAATTACATGTTTAAAAATAGTTAATTGACAGAGTACCTTATAATTGGTGTTCTTTAAAATGTCAGCTTCACAAGATCTCTCACAATCTAGGTAACTACAAATGGTCTGCTTCATTATATTACTTTCAGTTGTCTTGATAAAATTATTAAGAAGATCCTAGATTTTTAAAATAAAAAGAATTCTCATTAATTAGTAATAAATTAAGACCATAACACTTCCAATGTTTTACCTTTATCATATTCCCTTTTTGAAGGACTTATATATAATTAAAAAAAATAGTAACAGAACATATTTCTCTCATTTGAAGTAAACAATATATAGGAAAGCCCTAAATTAAAAATACTGAATTTTTTATTGAATGATATAAATGTGGAGAAAGGAGAGAAGTTTATATTTGAAGCCATACTTCTCTTTGCCATTCTAACCCATAACATAACACCTGGTGTATACCTATCAAGAATTACTTGCTCTGATGTATACATACAGAGAGACAATAGATCACTGGGGTTCAGGAGAGTCTTTGGTGGAAGTGGCTCCTGGACACCATGTTGGCAGTAAAACTACTATAGTGGTGCCATATGCCACTTATTGCCATAATGGGCAGAAATACAGTACAGAATTACATTTCCAATGTTTAGAGTTATAAATCAGAATATAATTTCTCATTTTAAAATGCTGATTACATATAGGTGGAACCCATTACAGGCCTAAAGTTAGACAAGGTCCTTAATATTCATACTGCAGATAGTATTACAAAATTTCAAGTAGTATTACTGCTAATATACTGTGGGCAGATGACATCATAAATAAACCTCTATAAATTATTTCATAAATGTCATTTTGCAGTTAGAGAAGCCCTATGCAGAAAGATAAAGTTGAGAAAATTTCCCAGAAGGTAGAAAAGACAAAAAATAAAACATATGAAAGAAATAAGAAAATTAGAGACTCAGTCTAATAGTATGCAAAACATCTGAGTGAGTATACCAGAAAAAAAAGAAAAAATTAGAAGAAATCATCTATTATATAAAATAAGAAAATATCCCAGAACTAAAAAACACAAATTAAGAACACTGAGTACACATAGACTATCCTTAAAGACTCCCAGAAAGAAAAAAATAAAACAGGTCACAATGCAAAAGGTTAAAAACCAGAGTGACATCAGATTTCTCAAAAGTAATATTAAAAGCTAGAAGATAAAAGAAAAATACTTCTAAAAAATTAAGAAAAATTATTTTCAGCCTATAATTCTATGCCCAGAATTGAAAAAAGTATACAAAGAATACATTATATTGAGAATTATAAGGTCTCAAAAAATTTATCTCCCAAGCAAGCACTCTTTTATGGGACATTGCTGGAGGAGTTGCACCACCAAAACAAAGGAGCAAACCTAAAAAAAGGAAAACTTGAGTTCTAAGAAACAGAGGATTCTATATAGAAGAAAGGTGAAGGAAATTCACAGTATGAGTGTGAAGGGAAACCGTGAGGCCAATTTAATAAAAACTTGTAACTACTGGTGGGATGGAGGAAGGAACGTGTGTACGCATACATGCATGAGAGAGAGAGACAGAGAGCGAGCGAGCGAGCATGCACACATGTGTAAGAGAGCTAAGCCCTCATCTTCCATGGTGAGAATGAAAAGATAACATCTAAAATAATGTTTTTATATGGTAGTACATGTTTTTGAAAAACTGGTAAATAGTGAAGAAAAATGCCTCTAGGAAGCAGAATTGCAATTAGAGATGATGGAGCAGGAACTCTTAATTTTTAAGTCTTTTAATATTATTTGACAAACTATAGATTGTGATATTTTGCATATAATAAAAGTTCAGTAAAAAAGTTTGGATAATTAAAAAAATATATTTTAAAAGGAAGAGGAAAAAGAATAAAATAACCAAGATCAAACAGTGACTACCTTAGGTAGGCATGGAAGTTTTAATATTTTAAAAATGTATAAAAATTATTACTTTAGCAAGTCAAAGTTAAAAGTCATATGATTATATTAACAATGCCAAAAGCTGTCTGCATATATTTTGATTGCCAAGAGAGGTATATATTAAAGCATTCCATTGTGATTGGAGATTTTTTATTTCTCCTTTCCTTCTGTCAATTTTTGTCCCATATATTTTGAGGCTATATAACTAGGTATATACAAATTTTGTATTGTTATAGCTTCCTGGAGAATTGAATTTTATATTTTTATAAAATGTTACTCTTTGAGGAATGCTTTTGGCCTTAAAGCCAACTAAAATATAAGAATAAACAAAGATTTAAAGTAAAAGTTTGGGAAAAGATAGCTCATTCAAACATTAACCGAGAGAAATCAGGTGTAGTTATTTTTACATTAAACAAATTAAAAAGAAACCTATCTGGCTTATCAGATGGGTAAAAATTACCCAAAAGGTAAAGAATACTGAGAAGGTATAGGAAAATGGAAACTTATACTATCTGAAGAATATAAATTGGTATAAACTTTCTGAGAAGAAATATGAAGATATATAACAACTTTATAAGTGTATGAACACTTGCTTAACAATTCCACCTTTAGAAGTTTATTCTAATGGAATGCTATGAGAAATATGGAAACATCACTTTATGCAAAAATGAAAAACTGGCATGTTTAGTTAGAATAAACTAAATGTTCAACACTGAGAACTGGTTCAGCAAATTAAAGCACAGTTATATGAAAGATGAAGCAAAAATCACACTATATAATAATCTGATCACTGAGAAATTAAAAAATTATATAATCCCAGATTACAAATAAATGTGTATAACATTATATCAATTTAATAAAAATAAAGGGTATGAGTGTTTATATTATACGTGTGTGTCTGGAAAGACACAAATGAAAATAAATGCTACAATGTTTTCTCCATTTGAAGAAATATGGATGAATTTCACTTTTATCTTTGAAAACTTTTATATTTTCCAAGTTTTCTGAGCTAAGCATTTAGCACTTTGTAATTTAAATCAACAACAAGATAACGGTAAATGTAATTAGAAAAAAAGAAGTTAACTATTACATTTGGCTCTAACCATGTGAAGTACTGGCCTCGAATGACCTATCGACCTTCATGTTATTTGCAAATGCTGACACTACCACCTCTACCACCTCACTTTTCTCTCCTTTTTGAATCACACTCACATTCTGTACTCGGTAATATAATCAAGGTTGTTTCTTATATAAAAAATCTAATTGCCAATAAAAGAATGGGATTGATATAGAATATGACTTTGTTGGTTCAAAGATGATTCTGAATAGTCACAAATGAAATGTTATTCTGAAATAATTTCTTACTTTAAAAGTTGTAGGTAAATCTTCATCTTCTGTAGGATCTATGTCAAACCAATGGTCATTTACATCTCCAATTTCATGTAAGCTTCTGTGAAATTCTAGCAGTCCTCCATTATATCTGCAAGGTATTTTAAAATAAAGTGAATTTGAATGGGACTATGGAACTGGATGGTTTACTAACAAGACACCAAGTAACCCATTTTTTTGCGGTAAGTAGGGTGGTGATAACCTCTGGCATGCTTAGAAATACAAATACTAGGACTCTCACCTGTGGTAGATTGGGATGAAATACAGGTGGAAGGGGAGGCAATAGATTATGTAGTAGCTCAAGCTTGAACAGTATGGGGGCCATGGTAATTAAAGGGATTGTAGAGTTGGCTGGCTTTTGTTAACTGTCTTGGAGGCCTTGAAGAAAGAGAATGATAGGCACAGGTCAGCCAACTATTAACTTAGGACACACTGTGAAAGCCAGAGGCCTCTATGGCAGTATATAAAGAGACTTCATTTCCTATAGCCATAAAAATAATGTGTGCTGAAATTAAGGCCCAGATTTAATCATAAGGTGGAACAAACTGCAAATGAGACTGAAGGCACAGCCTCAACAAGACTAATAACTATCAACTCAGGACACTATGAAAGCTAGAAGGCTTCTATGGTAACATAAAGAACCCTTACCTCCTCTGGACATAGGGAAAACTATATTCAAAATGAGATTCAGGATTGATCATAATGGTGCAACTGCAGGGGAGATCAAAAGAACAGTCTCAACAGAACTACTATGCTAAAATCAAGGCGTTAATAGGGAATGAGTAGATTCTGAGATCTGAAATGGGGATATTTAGGTGAATCCTTAAATTGCCCTTTGAACCCTCTGGCTGGCAAAGACTCTCCCTTTACTTAGAGAGCATACAAAAATATCATCTGAGATGTATGTCTCAAAAGATGATGCCTCTCATCCTCAAGATCTTCCCCACCTCTCTCCTAATTGCCTTTGGACCAATAAATTTAGGGTCAAGTGTAAGAGAGCTCAAGTGGTTAAACAGGGTCCATGTGCAGGAGGAAAAAGCTTATTCGCCATAAGAACTGCAAAATCTGACTAGAATGTACTGGTAGGAACATGAGTGGGAGTAGATCTTAAGAACCAAGAGTAAATACAAGACTGGATAGGGAAGTGCATACTGATATGGGATAACTCTTCCATTACTCAAAATTTACTTTCCTAACAAGAACACTTGAAGCCAGACCTAACATGCTGCTGAGAAGGGTCCATGTACACAATAGTAAGTGAGGGAGAAATGCTGAAAATTTCTTAATAGAGTATTAAAGCAGTCAGAAGATTCAGGAAGGTGAGAATGTTAGAGTGTACTTACTACATAAAAACACAAAACCCACCACTAGACAATGTTCCTGGAAAGGTTCAAAGGATACTCCATTCATCAATGTAATAAGAAATACAGACTAATGGCACCAGTGTCTTTGAGAAGCTTAGTGGTGGCTGTCTTCTATAGGCCAGGGATGAACATAATGATGCTGTCATACAACTGGGCTTTCTAGTGTCAATGATCTGGAAAATTGATTCTCTCCAATGCCCATCAGTAAAGAGAAGAAAAAGTAGTTTTCATATCTGAAGAAGGACAGCAGTATACATTCTTTGTCTTGTCTCAGACTATGTTAAATTTCTTACTTTGTCACAACTATAGACTGAAAGGCTTTTGATTATATTGACATTCTGCAAAGCACCACACTAGCCAACTATATTGATGGCATCATGTTGATCAGACCTAGTGAAAAGATCTGAAAAGTGAGAAGTCTTTTGGATATCCTAGTTAAAAGTAGGCATGCCAGAAGATAGGAAATAAACCTTACAAAGAAGCAGGGAACTGCCACATAGGTGACACTTTTAAGGATCCAATGGTTTGGCCCGGTAGTAATCCTTCATAAGAGTTTGCCCAAGTAAACTTTCCCTAATTCATCCTTTAGATCTCAACCAAACATTATTTCTTCAGGAAGACTTCTGATTCCAAGAACCGGACTTTGTTCACTTTAGTTTCCTTCACAGCTCTTTATCATATTTCATAATTGAGTATTTTATTGTTGATTATTTGATTAAGGTCTTTAACCTTCACTATACTGTCAGTTACATGAAGATGGGAACTGTCTATTTTGTAAACCATATTAGGTTTTGTATCCCCAACACCTAACAGTCTCTCGACTATAACAGATGATTAGTATGTAAAATGAATGAATGATGCTACAAATGGTTAAGGATCTTCATATAGGATGTAAACAGATAATCCACATAGGCTCCTCTGTACAATTTCACATTCTTAAACTATGTAGTACCTAATACTCCCCAAACTAAGCATTTGGACCCTTTCAATTCTTCATAAGCTCATTTACAACTTAAAAAACGATTCCAAGTCAGTAGTGATAATATTAATAACTACAACCATCATTTATTTATTTAGTATTTTTGTGTCCTAAGCATTGTGTTAATCACCTGCAACATCCTTATGAGGTGAACGCTATTACTGGTTTCATTTTACAGATAAGAAAAAATATAAGGCCTAACAACATTAAGTTTCCTAGGGTAAGTGGTAGAAAATGTATCTGAACCCAGGTCTGTCAGACTCCAAAGGCTATGTTCCTAACGTCAATGATAGACTGTTTATGTTGCCCTTGCCTGTTAAATTTGATATTCAATATTCTCAAGTAGATTAAAGAAATTATTATCTATAGGAACAGATAAAGAAACAAAGAACCAGCAAAGAACAAATGTCATAATCCCTGGTATACTATATACACTTAATTCCCATTTCATAATGCTAAAAGTTAACAGACAAGACATACCCATTAATTAAAATCCTTACCTCTTCTGAGCACATCGAAGTAAACCACGTCCAAAATAAACTAAAGACATAAAGTTTTCACAAATTTCATTTTCTTGGATCACCATCTTCATCACCAGAAATTTATTCTCAGCTTCTGTATAATCCTGTAGAACATAAAACTAGGTTTGGCTGATGTGAAAAGCATTTTTTTCTTTTATGACAAACAATTACAGCAAAAATTATAGCAGCTGTAAAAAGAACCAGTCATCTGGCCATTTTCACACCTCTAATCTTAGCCATGTCTATATGTGATAATAAAGATAATGTACTCAGGGTTTTAAATATTTACTACAAATAAATTTAAGATCTTATTTAATCAACATTTCAAAGTGAAATTTAAAACAACAATTTTTAAATCTAAAACTGACAAATATTACTCCAAATAAGGGCGTTTCTGATGACTATTAGAGCACAATTCTTTATCATTTTAATTTTTCTCCTTAATTGGAGCACAATTCTTCCTAATTTTTCAAATAGGAATTAAGTGACTGCTTGACCAGAGATATAGTCTCTTTTGGGGAAGTACCATCTTGATCATATGCAAGATAGGTCTGGAAGTAAAGATCAGGATCAGCTCTAACAGAGGTTTCAGTTATAATTAAGAAAACAGCCATAATGGCCTCAGTCTCTCTGGAAACAAAAAATCAGTCAGAAAAATGCTACATGGCCTTGCTTTAAAATATCTAGTATATCACACTAAACAATAATTTGTATTATATGAAATTATTTGCAAAATTATTTGAAATAGAAATGTTTTCAGTTTGGGTGCTTATAAATTCTACTTTACCTAATAAGTCATATTTATATATTTAATTTATAAAACCAAGTAAAGCTATAAATTTGGGGAGAGGAAAAATAAAAGAAATATCAAGGCTGCAAAGAAAACTTAAGAAATTTTTAAAAATCAGAAAAAGAAAGAAAATGTTAAATTTGAAAGAACTCTTAGAAATTATCTATTTAACTCTCACATTTTTACTTACTTGCATTTTGCTTTATTCAACAAAGAATTTGAGGTAAAACTCATATTTTACAAAAGAAGATTAAAACCAAAAATTAAGCTATACTAGAAAATGAGGATTTTTAAAATGTATATGTGAAAGAAGCTAAATAATTTTCTATTTTCCATTCATAAATGGCAAGCATTTAAATGATAAAGTTAACTAAAGTTATTAATAAAAGCTAATATTAAGTTTCCTTTAGCAGTATTTTTAGTTTCACAAAACAATCTTTGTATAATTACTCTAAATTATAAATATACAACAGAAAAGTCACTGAATAGTTTCAATTTGTAGAGAATTTTTAAAAATCAGTATTTTAATTTGCTGAAATGAAGTTGGTATACATAAAAAATATTTATAATGGGCAAATAGTACATGCTACATACCTCTTTCTTTCCTCTTTCAGTAAGTGCTACTCCATATAAAAACAGTAATGTCAAATAATAACCAACATTAATCTGGTGTGCCTAAAAAGAAAAAAAATATGTTAATTGGTTATTTAGATTAAGCTACTTTTCAGTATAATAGACTTAAATAAAATATCCTAGGTTATTTAATAATTATTAAAAATAGTAAATTATATTGTCAATCATCTAATAACTAATAGAGAATGTATTAATAATAATAGAGAATGTATTTTATTTTTTTGTATATCATGTAGCCTAGGTGTGTAAGAGAATGTATTTTAGATGTATTTGATAATTTGACCCAGGAGGAAGAAAGAGGACAGTCAATAATCTCAAAATAAAACTTAGAATTTGATTTTAAAAAATGAAAGCAAATGCCATCAAAATTTGTTACACTGAATCTTCCAAAAATTTTCATTCTCTTTCTCTTATTATATAATATTTTAGGTACCAAGAAAACTTTAGATAATAATATAAGGAAAACCAGAGTATCTACTGTCCACCTTAAAAATTATAATCATTTCTTAAATCAAAATCCTAAACTCTCTCAACATAGGTTATGTTATAACAATATAAACATAAAGCTTATCACTTCTTCAATTAAAAATTAAAATACATGAATATTTCTCCTTCATTTAAAAATGGTCTATGCAAAATTACTGAGATAGAGATAGATTAGTGATTTGGGAAGACGTGGAGGGAGAGAGGAGGATGTGACCATGAGGGTGGCATAAGAGAGATTTTTGTGATGATGGAATAGTTCTTTTATTCTTGATTTTGGCAATAGTTACACAAATATATACTTGTAAAAAATGGCATAGAAATGTACATTGCTGTGCATAAAAAATTAACATAGCTGGCCTGAGGCTGTTATCCTTATCAAGGCCAGTTTGCAAGGTTGATCATTGGCTGGTGTCTGAGAATTTGGATTCTGGCAGTGTTCCCACTGTTCTCTCAGCAATAATGGTGGCGCACTGTGCCTAGATTATTTGCACAATATGATTTATGCTCAACACCTAACAGTTTCTTCTGGAAGTCTGCAATTTTCATACATGCTAGGCAGAGGGCACCTAGGTGACCAACATCCGATAAAAATGTTGAATGTCTAATGGGCTTCCCTGGGTAGAAATATCATACATGTTGCTACATTTTCATTGCTGGGAATGACAAGTGAAAGGATGGGAGTGAGTGTACTCTGTGACTTCTCATGGGAGAGAGAAAATATAAGAAAGCCTGCAGATGGGTTCACTCAGACTCTGCCTGTGTCTTTTCCCCTTATGATCTGCTGTGTATCTTTACTACATCTTTACTACAATAAATCTTAGCTATGAGTATAACTGTATGCTGAGTCCAGTTCTTCTAGCAAATCTCTGAACATGACGGTCTTAGAGAACCCGGACACAACATCCATTGTACCAATGTCAATTTTCTGGTTTTGATATGTGTACTGTAGTTATGTTAAGATGTGTTAAATAATTCTTGGGGGAAATTATGTGAAGGGTACACATCAAGACTTCTCTATATTTTTGTATTATACAGCTGTAACTTCGGTCAATTTGTAATTACCTCAAAATAGTTAAAAAATTGTCTATGAGGAAAAATACTGTCCATTCTATTTGTGATGGTTAATTTTATGTGTCAACTTGACAGGCCATGGGGTACCCAGATTAAACACTATTTCTGAGTGTGTCTGTGGAGGTGTTTCCAGATGTGATTAGCCTTTGAATAGGTGGACTCAGTACAGATTTCTCTTCCCAGTGTGATTGGGCCTGAATAGAACAAAAGGCAGAGAAAGGAAGAATTCATCCCTCTTTGCTTCCTGCTAGCCTGCTTGAGCTGGTACATCTCATCTCAACAACTTCTGCCCTCAGACTGAGATTTATACCAATGGCTCCACTGGGTTCCTAGACTTTCAGAATTGGACTGAATTATACCACCAGCTTTAATGGGTCTCCAACTTGTAGACAGCAGATCATGGGACTTCTCAGCCTCCATAATCATGTGTGCCAATTTCTCATACTAAATTACATATATATGCCTTATAAAAAACCATATATGTGCATATGTATATATGTGTGTCACATATATACATGTATATGTGTGTATGCATGTATGTACATATATATATTTATATATTTTTTGCTCGCCTAGCACACCTCTTATGACCAACAGTATACAATTATGAGATAACTGACTGGGGTTAGAAGTTCAGCTTCAAACTGGTATTAGCGGAGACATACATGTGTTTGTTTTTGATGGACCAGTGGACCCAGTATATATCAGTGGAGATATACATGTGTGTTTTTTCTCAATGGACTGAGCGAGTTTATGAATATAAATTCTTTGTAACGTCTAAATGGTTTCTACCTTAAAATGCCCATCCCTGAAGAGACAGTATAATGTAATAGTTCAGACCATACACTCTGGAGCTAAAATGACATGGATTATATCCTGACTCCACTATTTACTACTTGGTGAATTTAGCAAGCTACTTAATCTCTGTGACTCAGTTTCCTAATCTACAAAGAAAGAATAGTAAAATGGGATAGTTATGAGGAGTAAATGAGCTAATCCTTACAAGGTGCTTAGAACCTTGTAAGCACCTTATATGGCTATCATATAAAAAATACTAAATAAATGTGAGCTATTATTTTGTAATTTTTTAAAAACTAACTTTATAAACAACACAACAGAGCCTGTGGCTCTTACAATCCTAAATAAGAACAACAGTTTTGAGAACAGGAACAGCAGCAGAATTATGGTATTGCTATAACTAGAAGGCAAAAAACTCTGGAATTTAAAGATGCAAGTGGTACATTTCTAACCTAAAGCCCCTGCCCTTTCCTCCCTACCTTCCCCCCATTTGCAAAGATTATTCCATGTACTGGAACCAAATGAATATAGATATGTCATTGGCAACTACCTCCACCTCCAACTCACTGCTTCCTCCTACAAGGTTGTCTGACCCTTCTTGGAGGCCTTGAAGGACAGGAAGAATCATTTGGATAGAGCAGTAGACTGCTCTGATCATGACAATTCCAATTCTGCTCACAAGTGCTACCAAAGGAGAGAACTCTTCCATCCTAGTCTAAGACTCATCTTTGAAGTAATATCTAAATAGAGAAGGCTAAGCAATGGGCACTTGTTAATGCTGATTTTATACTGATTTGTTTCACTGATGGCAATCTGGTCAGTAGAATGGCAGTTCTGTAGTATTCCAGAAATTCTTGGGATTAAAAAGTACAAACCTGCTTTTCTTTTGTTTCATCTATTGAATCCATCTGAACCTCCTTTACAGTATGTATATCATTCTTTAGAACTCAAATCCTTAGTGGCCTAAATAAGGATTATTTTCTACTTCCTTATACATCATTAGAATCTGGGATTTGGTGTCTTAGGGTACCTTTTTTGGTGTTTGGGTAGTTCGTTTTTGAAGATAATCCTAATCCATCTTCTATTTTATATGCATGCAAAATTTAGACGACTACTCCAAGTTAGGCAAAGAATTTATTTTTCCTTTTACTGTTTTGTACTATCAATTCTAATCTTTGACACAATTTTTTCCTCAAATCATTCTTTTTATTTCTAAAGTATTATTTGATCTTAAACACATATTTTGTCAATTTTATCAACAGAAATTCTAACTTTTATAAATATAGAAATATCAAATGAGAGCAGGCTAATAATTAGGGATAGGAGGAATAGCTTTTTCTTTCTTTTTTTAATTGACAAAAATTAATGTTATTTATCATAGACAACATGATGTTATGAAATAATGTATACATTGTAGAATGACTAACTCAAACTAATTAACATATGCATTACTTCATATATTTATCATTTTTTTGGTGAAGAGAACACTTAAAATCTCTCTTGGCAATTTTTAAGTATACAATACATTGTTATTAATCATAATCACCATGTTGTACCATAGATCTCTTGAACAAATTATTCCTCCTATCTAACTGAAATTTTATATTCTTTGACCAACTTATCCTCACCCATGCCCTCCCCAGCCCCTTGTAACTGCCATTATATTCTTTACTTCTATGAGTTCAACTTTGTAAGATTCCACATATAAACGACATCTTGAAATATTTGTTTTTCTATACTTGGCTTATTTTTTGAACTTTATGACTCTCCATTTCTAATTGGGAAAGCCTATTTCTATTAGTTTAAGTTTTTCTTAAGACGAACAATTTTGTGGTGCGAACGGGGACTAGAATAGGCTCATTCAGAAATTTTGTCACATAAGAAAGTACAAGACATAGGAAGGCAATAAATTTATATGTACCCTTTTCCAGGGTTAAAAAGGAAAATACAAATTGTTCTAGACCTCAAAATAAGCACACACTGTTTTCTCATTGAAAAATGCTGATCAAATCCTTCATTTCAAACTTTCAAAACAAAAAGACTTACAGTATAATTAGTAGCTTGAATGTTCCTAAGTGCTGCTTCCAGTTGTGTTATCAAGAAACGCAAAGTCAAAGCAGGAACAATTTCTTCCCCATTCTGGCTGTTAGCTACAACTTCTCTCTGTGGAAAATAATATAGTTGAAGATTTCTTTAGGTTAGAACAAATATCTACATATGTTCATATTATACAAATAATATAAGCTTACTGTAGAAAATTTGTAAAATAGAGATAAAGACAGTTTTAAATAAAAAACTCACATTACCCAAATACACTATTCTCATACTTGTTTTTAAGTAGTCTGATGAATCTCCTTTGTCACTATTTCCCCAAAACACTAAAAAATCATTACTATGCCTGCCAAGAGAATGGCAACATCCACTCCTACTTCAAAGGAAGATGGTAATCCCACTTCATTCTCATACTTTCTATTCTATAGCATAGCCAAAATCTTCCCTCTAGCCCTGAACCTGTGATAAACAGGAATGCTGGCATTAATACCAATACCAGGGCAAGCAAGCCATTTTATGCTGCAATCTGATTGGAACTGATCTATTACATGCTTTATTGTATACCATAGTCTGTTCATTACATGGTTGACATATAAGGAAGGACTTAAGGACACAATGGAAACAATGTCTTATCATTGTGTCCATTTCCTAATGCTTTCGTACCCACAGTGCTTGGCTTAAATTACATTATCTGTTTAATAATGTATACTCTGTATGGAAAGTTTAATCTACACTTTATCTTGGTTTCTAGTATACAATACTTTGTTTTTGCCCTAGCTATCTAGGTACTTATTTCATTTCAGTATCCCCAACAGTCAATCTAACAAATCTCTTCTCTATCAACACACATTCCATAGATAAAGTAGTCCACTATCATATTTTTAAATAGTGTCTACACATTGACAGTTTCCAAATTTATATTTCCAGTCAAGAACTATCACCTGAATTCCAACCTCATATATCCAGCCATTTACTCAACAATATCTTTTAAATTTGAACAGGCATATAAAACAGTACTGAAGTTATACCTCTATTAAGCAGCCTAGGTGGTTTCAGATGAATCCTCCCAAGGAAAACTAAAACAGCTGGACAACATATAAAAACCATTTATCTGAAAGCAATGGAAAACTACCAAGGCACTGCCAATCTCTCAGGCCAACATACAGGAGAGGAGAAAGGACCAGAAACATGAGACTAACTCCCTTTTTAAAGCAATTTCCATTTTCAGTTGTGGCTGAGATTCTAGGCAGAGCGTTCAGCAAATTTACAGAGCTGGGAGGAAAATTGGAGTGCATGGCCTATCAAGGAGGTGGGGCCCTGGTTAACACCACATTCTTTTGCAATGGAAGCAGTCTGTAACATGAAGATTTGAATGCAAGTAGTTTATTTGGTAGGTACAGAAAAAAATGGTAGGAAAGTGAAGAAGTGATATAGGAAAGGGAAAACAGGCTTTAAATTAAACAGTGTATTACTAAGCTAATTACCCACAGCTGGTGACTGGGTTTAATACAACAGGGAAACTCTGGAAAACTGAAATATATGAGCTGCAGCATTATCCAACTACTCAAGGGCAGACGGAACTGGGGTACTCACATAATAATTCCCAAGACTTACTGATTGAATGCTTTCTGGGGTGATGGGGCAATATTATGGGTCTTTTGAACTGCCATGAGAAGTATAGCCTTCTGCAGTTCCAGAAAAAAAGGCCCTGAGGTATAGCGATGTGGATATTGAAAACAGGAAATTGTCCAGAGCCTACTGAAAAGATAGGTAGGGTCCAACGGGTATGGGCAGGCCAGTGACAGCATCTGCTACAAAAGGTACAGAAATAGACCTTTCCTCACAGAACATAAGTAAAGATTGGAATCATCCCAGTCCCTTGTCGAATTAAGTCATCTACTAAAAAAGCACAAATAAGAATTACTTGGAAAGATTTTGCCCGGTTTTTCTAGTTCTTCAGAGGAAATTTGCTCTGAAACAAATGAGGCAGCCACTACAAGCAGTAGAATTCTCCCTATATTTTCTATGAGTGTAATTTGTATTGATGTTTTCATGTTCATTCTGATTTTGGTTATTTTTGTTTTCTTTCTTTTTTGAACATTCTTACTAAGCATTTATCAATTTTATTGGTCTTTTCAAAAAACTAAACTTTGTACCATGACTGCATGGCTGAAATAAAAAAAAAAAAATTCAATAGTTAAAAAAAACCCACTAAGTTTTGCCTTTATTGATCCTCTCTATTTTATGTTTTATTCTATTGTTTGAGCTATCCTTATTACTCCTTTTTTGAATGTTTCTAATTTGCTGTTCTTCCATTAACCTTTAACCTTCAAGTTTAGATGACTGACATTCACTCTTGCTTCTTTTTCTAATACATGCATTTCGAGCTATAAATTTTCCTAAAAGCACAGCTTTATCTAATAATACAAGTTTTAATATATATATTTTTATTCAGTTCAAAAATTTATTTAACTTCCACTGCAATTTCTTCTTTGATCTATTGGTTACCTAGATTAGAAGTATATATCATAACTTATGAACATATGATTTTCTAGTGTATCTTTCTGTTACTGATTTCTAGATTAATTACACAGTAGTTAGAGAACATGTTCTATATGTTTTGATCCTTTAAAATATGACAAGTCTTGTTTTGTCACCTAGCATCTTATCATTTATAAAAGTTCTATATGTATTTGAGTCTACTTCTAGAATTTCTCTTCTATTTTCTAGACTTGTCTATAGTGTCAAGAACAAGTAAATTCTTTTTAGTTATTAGAGATTCATAAATTATCATATCTATGTGAGCAAATTCCCAGCCCTTCTTCCCTATACTTCTCTTATATAATTTTCTTGGCTATTTTTCCCCTTATTTCCCATGTGAACTTCAGAATTAGCTTTTAGTGACACTAACCCAAAAAATCCTTTTGTTTTACTGGAATTAGATGATATTTGTAGATTTTAATTTAGAAAAAATTGACAGCTTTAACATATTGTATCTTCCTACATGTACTATTTTCCCTTCAGGTCTTCTTTTCTTATCCTTAATAGAGTTTTAGAGAGTTTTATTAAATGTTTTAATATAGAATATTGATTTCTAAACTTAATGTGAATGAGATCAATGTGTGGGTGCTTGCTAAAATATAGATTCCCAGATTTATTCCCAGAGATTTCGATTTTTTAGAACTAGTACAGGTTTCAGAGGTTCTCATGAAAGTGGTTTAGGACAAACTTAAAGAAATAGTAGTTTATCTTGTACATTTCTTAAGAGTTTTTCCTGGGTATTTTACTTTTGTTACTATTACAAAAAAGTACAGTTGGCTATTTATATCTGTGGGTTTCAGATTCACGAATTCAACCAATCATGATTGAAAATCTGAAAAAAAAAATAAATAAAAATAAGAATACAACAATAAAAATAATACAAATTAAAAAGATAATATAGTATAACAGCTCTTTACATAGCATTTACATTATAGTAAGTATTATAAGTAATCTAGAGATGATTTAATGAATAGCGGAGGGTATGCATAGGTTATATGCATATACCATGCCATTTTATATAAGGAACTGTGGATTTTGGTATGGCTGAGGGTCCTGTAACCAATCTGCCACAGATACAGAAGGATGGCTGTACTCTTCTTCTATTTTCACTTTCTAGTTGACTATGTTTTGCATATGTGAAGGCTTCTGATTTCTGTTTCTTGTTTCTGGGCAATTTCCAAAAGATAAGAGGGAAATGTGGCATTACTTCACCAATTTCAAGCCAGAATTCATTTATACTGTGATAAATTATCTCAATGAAGGTTTTAATTGTACATAAAGTCTTATGGACATTTTCAGAGTTTGTCTGAATTTTTTGTCTTATTTAGTATTAACATGTTTCATGGAAATAATTACTGATGTATTCTTTCAAAGAAAATGCAAATGTGGCCTTTTCAAGATACCTATGGTGCTTTGTTCCCCTCTCTCTCAGTTAACTGTCACAAAGAAAAGAATAGATCATTTTCTTTAAGTTTAGAAAACCCCATTAAGAAATGGTACCCTTAAAGAAAAAAAAAAATAAATAAAAAAAAAAAATACAGTTTAGGATAGAGACTTAAAGAAAAAAAAAAAGAAATGGTACCCTTCCTATGCTGAAAGTTATCAAAACCTATTATATAGAAAAATTATTTTCAAAATGGAAATCTATAATATATTCTCTAGAATATTTATTTCGCTCATAAATCAAAAAGTTTTGGGTATTATTTTTGAAAAATATGTTAACATTTTATAAATTAGAAAATCAAAAGCAGTCCCCTGTCCCAGAGTGACATGTTATAAGTTATTAATAGAAGTAGAATAAACACTAGACCTTACAGTTAACAGCTTACAAGCTACTAACCCGCATGCCTACCATTATACCTGAAAGGATAGCACCAACTAATTCTATTTATTTAATTTTAAAAAGTATATAGTCAAGGTTGACACCAAACCCTTTACAAGAAGATGAGATTTCTAGACCTTAGCTATGCTATATAGTTTAAAAAAAAAAAAAGCCATATACAGAGAGCTGTATTTCTGCCTTAAAGAACAGATTATGATATTACCTGCATATTTTGGAAGGAAAAATCTTCTTGTAAGAACTTCTTAATGTGAGGAACTACACCTTTTGGTAGAGTATTAATTGCATTTAATAACTTCTTCACTTCCAATAGTAGGTTAATAGGGACAAGATCAGTAGGTATTTCTTTTTCCTGTTTGTCCTAGAAGACACATTATTCATTAAAAATTTATATTATTATACATATTCTCACTCTAATTCTAAAACCAGTCAAAATATTAAAAAGGAACAAAGTGTCTGCTATATGTAGATCACTGTGATAGAACTACAAAAATCCAAGTAAGAATAATAAATGTTCTCTGTACTGTCAAGAACTTATAATATTACATAGATTATTCTATATAATATGAAAACTGTATCTAAGAGTACTTTTTACATTATGTTACTGATGCTTTAGCTACTAAACTAACAGCAAATTAAAATGAGTAAGAGTTGTAAACAAAGTAAAATAGAATGACTCTCAACATTTAAATTCAGTCAGAGCTGAGTAAATAGTAGTAACCTTGGGAAATCAAGAACAGATACTTACAAATGTAATGGTTAATTGATAACTGTACAGTCAAGTCCTGCTGGGTTGTCTACTAACATTAGTTGTAAAAAAAACTGGTGGGAAACAGCCTCCCAAGTACTGGGACTACAGGCATGCACCACCATGCCCAGCTAATTTTTTCTATATATTTTAGTTGGCCAATTAATTTCTTTCTATTTTTTGTAGAGACTGGGTTGTGACTATTTTATGTTTACATATTTTTTTCATCCTGTTACTTTATAACCTTTGCAAACCTTATTAACAAGAGGGTATCAATCATTATATTAATAAAAATGTAGGTGGAAGGTAAAAATTACATGATCAAGAACCTAAAAAATACCTCTTCATCAATCTTTCACTAAATATGGGACATATGGTATTCATATAAATATTTTAACCTACCATAACCATATTGTCATTGGCAATAAAAACCTTATACTTATGTATAATTCAGAGTTATTCTCTTTCATTTAGACCTAGAAGTTCTAACAGCAAACATAATAAAAATTTTAAAAAATTTAACTTCAGAAACAACTCAGTAAAACTTATTAAATAAAATTCTGTATGTTCGTGTGTTTTCTTTATATCTATGTACATATGTAGTTTTCTATGTTTGAATTTTCCCTTCAAAAGACCAATGAGATACTTCTTAAAACTGATTGTTGGGATGTTTCTGGGAAAGTCAACTCAATTTTCTACTAAAGTTATGGTGATGATTGGTGTTTAAAATGATAATCTTGAGATATAGCATCAATCATCAAAGCAAAAGTTAATTATGACCATTTTACTTATTAAGGTAGGAAAGTAGATTCACCTAAAACATTTCAACAGACAATTAAACTGACTAGATTTACTAGGCATTCTTATACAAAGTCATTATTAACTAAAAGTTAATGAAAATTAAGTTTTTTCTTACTAGATGACCAGAGGAGTTTTCCAGCTTATTCTCTGTTTCCTCTTTCCTCTGCTCCTCCACAGCAGGATCCCTATTTTAAATGAAAAAGAAAGGTGTATTCACAGCATCTTCTCACAAAGAATATAATTAAATTATGGTAGTAAAGAATCTAACAATTTAATTCTTGTCTGAAGTTTCAGAAGTGTAACAAATATGTATCAAAGATTGATAATAGTGGTAGGTGCCATATCTCTTTAGGGACTCAAATTTAAAAAAAGGAAATTAGGCCATGTTCTTACTGTATGGTGATAGAGAAAACAGCAAGCTGATGTATAGAACTCTGTATCTTTAACAGACACACAACAGACCAAAATAATGAGAAAAAATTAACCTCATAGCACTGTTTCAAGAGAAAAAAAAAGGTCTTGAAAAGGTTAGTGTTTCGTGTGTGTGCATGTTTGTGTGTGCATGTTTGTGTGTGCACATGTGTGTGTTTATGAAAATACGGGTTAGGAAAACATCTATTTTGCATAGATCAATTTTACTGTTTGCAGCTCCTGGACTTACAATTGTCCAGTTTTCCAAAATATTTTTTTTGTTTGTTTGTTTCTATTATTGATTTATAAAGTGTATAGCAATTGTGTTGCATGGAAAGGTTTAATAGCTTTATGGATTTCCTTCTTTAAAGTTTTCAATTTGTTTCAGTTTGACTTTGTGTAGTTTTAGTTTTTTTTTTTTTTTTGGCATATTATGGGGGTACAGATTTTAAGGTTTCAATAAATGCCCATTTCCCCCCCTCAAAATATTTTTTTTAATTGAGGGAGAATATCATAATTAGAAACTATTAACTATTTTGGTAAAAAATAATTTGACATATTTTGCTTTAACATTGGCTTGAAATGTGAACATATTTTGTAGTGTTATATACTGAACTGAAAACTGTATTTATAAAATTGCTTTTGTCTACATAGAGAACCACGATATAGGATCCATAATATAGGATCATATATTATTTATATAATCTTAATTCTGTACACTAGCAGAAATAAAACTGAAGTGAGAAATTTTTATTGATTTACTCATAATTATGCCTTATAAACATTATCCTATTTTACTTTACATTTATGTATTCATTTGATAGACAACCATTTATCATCTACCATATGCTAACTGATTTTGCCAGAGGAAACTGGGCCAGATAAACAGTAGAGTATTATCCAATTTTCAAACTCCTAGTGAAAATTTCAACACAAGATGCTTTATACATATAAACATTTCACAATATAATTCTCAGCACTCTTTAAAGTGTCATGGTAAAGACAAGCCTATCAATTGTCTTTTCCTCCACTTCCAAGACTCAGTAGAGTCTTCTGCTTATTAAAATGGGAATAATAACAGTATCCAATTCTTAGAGTTATGATTTTATATGCGCTAACATTTGTAAAAATGTTAAAAGCAATGCCTCACACATAGTAAATAGTAAGTCTTTGTAAGTGCTTGTTAAATGATGAAATATTATTTTGATGAGAATGTTCCAAGAGTAGCAAGGTGTGGCACATTTTTCCATTCTTAACTCTTTAGCCAAGATGTAATCCCTAGTGAACTTTTCTAAAATAAGATTTTACCCAGTCTACATTCCCCACTAATCAAATTTGCCAAATTTTCTTGAAGCGTAAGAGTATCTCATTCATACTAACTTTCCAAGGTTATTGGAAAAGACAAATGTCATGTCTTTGGAATACAATAATTATAGTTGGTTTTTGTCAATCTATCTCTTACCTCACAAAAAATTCTTCTGGTAGAGAGTCCATGATGCACAGGTTCCTTTACAAAAATTATATTCTAGTAGTTGCAAACTGATTTTTACTACTGCTGTTCAAAGCTGTAAGGAAAATAATATTTAATGAGAATGTAGAAAAGTTACATTCTTTCTCTCCACTATAAAAATAGTGTAAAATCATTAAAGAAAACTCTGAAAATGTTCTAAAAGATAATGAATCACATAGCTTCACCATCCAAACATAATCACCATGACCTTTAATATGCTTATTTTTTTCCCAAGTATAGGTATATTTTACCAATTTGTAATCATACCAAATAGCAAATGTTTTACCCCACCTTTTTCACCACCAAATGTTATATCAAAAATATCTTTTTTTTTTTTTTTTTTTTTAGAACCTACAGCGTATCTGGACCAAAAATATCTTTTATGTTATTTTATCCTCCTAGTAAACATTCTCAATGGCTATATAAGAGTTGGTTGATTGGGGTTTCTTTGATGATTTCCTTATAATTGGATGCTTAATTTCATATTTTTTCCATTATAAATAATTAGTTCCATGATAAACATCATTGTTCATAAAGCTTTTTCCTTATTTATGATTATTTCCTTACAATAAATTCTCAAAAGTGGAATTAGTAGGTCAAAAGATAAAAATATTTAAAGCTTCTTGGTGCATATTATTAAATGGCTTCCCAAAGGGTTTGTACTAGTTTATTTCCCATAGAGGTATATGAGTTCCTGCTTAACACAATCTTGATAGTACTAATTGTTTTGTTTCATTTTAGTCTAGAAATCACAGGTGGCCACTTTTCCCCAAAATCGTATGATTCTATAGCTCCATAAAATAGGAGATGTGGGACGTAAAATACACTTACACACTCTGATTCAAATATCAATGGATGTCGTGAATGTTTCCTGAAAAAAAGTACTGAAGCAACAAATTAAAACAAAGGGGGCTAGAGTATCATCAGTATGTCTATTTATTTATACAGTCCTCTATTTATTCCAAAACAACTCTTCTAAAATTGGTCTCATTTGATCTTTTTTACTAAGTGTTCAAGCACCCAGATTCCAGAGCCCTCTGCTAGGATAGCTTCTTTTTCTGATCCCACTCTAGGCCCAGAAAGGGTTAGAGCAAACATATGTAAACTGCTCGTGGGTACTCTTGAGCAAAGGAAGAAATGCTGAGAAAAAGAAAAGAAAGTGGCAGCAACAACATATAAAATAGACCTAGACTGCCTTCCTGCCAAGCACCAAGACTGAATAATGTTTCTCATTTGTTGTCTCTGAGCCACTTATTTATCTTAGTAACTGAGTGGCCAGTTTCCCTAATAGCATAATTAATACACACCCATAGATTAGATTGGTACAGCTTTTGCAGGCCCATAACTAAAGGGCAATTCAGCATGGGTAATTCCCAAATCAAAAAATATATTTTTCAAGATCAATTATAAGTCAACATTAAGAATTCAGACTGTATTTATCAAAGAAATATTGTTCTAATGATGTTGAACACCCTAAAAAAGCAATTTAACACAAAGAGAAAAAAAGTAACTGCAAGATCTGGCCCTTCTAAGCCTTGAGGTCTGAGTATCTTCTCATCAATAACCTTAGAATAGAAGAGAGGGCAACTTCGCTCTGGTATAAGGTATAAAAGAAGTCCTGTGAAGATCATCTATAAAACAAGTATTCCTAATTATGATATTATATACCAATATTCTATATTTGATTCACACCAACTCTATGTAATACAGAAAGTCATGAGAGACAGGAGTATTTCTCCAACAATTTGATGCTGATACTTCTTAATTGAAACACAAATGCAAAGATGAAAGACACACAGACAAACACACACACACACACACACACACACAAAACTTCCTTCTAAACTTCCTTCTAAACTGTTAATTAAAACAGAGCTTTCTAACATCTCTTAATTTCTTGCCCATCCTTAACCAAAAAACACTTCTTGCTGTCAGTATTACAACTCACTTATGTGGAATTCAGTTCTCACAGATAAATTATTTTATTTTATAGCTTTATTCATTTTAAAAATTCAGTAAGCAAAGTCATATTTAAATTTGTATATCCTCTGTTCAAATACTGATAAAAATAGAACCTACAGCTAATTATGAAGCAGAGAGGTTGGATAAACCTTGTCAGTCTTTCATAGATCTGCTTCATCTCTTTAATAAAGCTATAAAGAAAAGGGCACAGCTTTGAGAATTTTAGGATTATGACCGAACTATTTTCTTTTATCGTTTCTATAAACCACCCTGGTTATTTTAATAAAAAGTAACAACATTATTGTTAAGGCATTATTTCACAGCCAGAGAATACAAACCTATGCCTTTTCTAGACAAAACAATTCCCTCATTTCCAAAATATAGCAAAGCTCAGACATGGAGACTTCCCCCTCTGATAAGCTTTTCTTTGGTCAGTAGCTGTTTGCACAGATCACAGCAAGGATGAAAACAAGGGAGGAAAATCCTCTAGTGACAAGATAGAGAGGATGGAAGGCCTCTGCTAAGCTGTTCATTGTTCAGCTTGAAAAAGAAAAGGATTGAACATTAATTAATAAATCTGAAGATATTTGTATCCCAAATTAACAGAATTAAGAAAGTCTAGTGGCTTTCATTTTCAGCTCTTAAAATACAACCTGAGACGAATCTCTGTGATGAAAGGTTTTCGAGGAGAGAGGATCATCAATCCCATCATTTCCCAGGAGCTAAGCAGGTATGTATGGCAAACACTACCGGCAATAGCAGCAGCAGTAGCACTTGACAGCCTGTTGGGGAGGAAGGCAGGCGCAACTGCCTAGCAACCGAAAGGAAGTAGCCAGCCTGAAATCTTACCACTGTGCTTCTAAAATAATCCAAAGGTTCTTACCATTCTAGAAGAGGCCAGAGGAAACCTTTAAAGTCAGAGTTAACTTGGCAAAATGGGTGAATCTAGTTTCCCCTGGTATATTCATTTCAATAGACTTTCCCTGTCAGCAAGAAACAAAATTTTCTCTGAGTTCCTGTTACTGAGGGACTGCTTTTCTACAGAAATCTATTCAAATTCTCATTGGTTGGGCTGGTGGTAAGCTAAAGTTCAGTGTCGATTTACAGCACACCTTAATCCACCAATCAGAATGATCTTATATGCAGGCTTTCACTGGTTGAAAAATAAGTTATTGTCATCCAAATCCTGATAATCACCAGCATGCCTTTCTTACTATGCTTCTATCTGAGCTCTCAGCTCCTGAGCTCTCTTTCCCTCTTATTTACTGAAATTATAACACATTTTTTAAGTTGCAAAGGTGTTTCGTGTTTCCATTTTAAAGCTGTGTTTATTCACATCAAAACGGGCACAGATCTTATTTATAATTATTTAATCATTCATTTAAACATTTAACTTGTAGCACTACTGTCACCTCCCTAAACCGATTATACGCACACTTTTTATAAAAATGCACTTCAATGTTTCATTTTGACTAAGTAAACTGACCAAGTTAGAGTTCCAATTTGCCATCAAGTTTAATTTCAATGTGTGGGTAGATGTCCCATGAATTTTCCAGGCTTGTCAACTCCAGCACTTACAGATTACACAATGCCAGGTAAATAAATTAAAAATTAGTATGGAAAACAATAAAAATAATGCCCACACTTTACTCAATGCTACTACCTTAAAAACAAAGTAATGTATTTGCTGTTTTCCAGGAGAGAAATTGTTACTTATACCCTCAGGGTCTCTCAATCTTAGCAGTATTAACATTCTGGGGTCGATAATTCTTTGTTATGAGAAGTTATCCTATACATTTTTAGGATGTTTCACAGCATCCCTGGCCTCTGCCCACTAGATGCTAGTAGCAACCCCCCCCAGATGGTGCACATCTCACTCACTATGTATGTATATCCCGCCCCCCCCCCCCCCCCCCCCCCGCCCCAACCCCCACAACCCCTACCATCCCTTATCATCCCCTATTGTGGCAATCAAAGATTTCTCCAGATATTGCCAAATACTGCCTGGGGCACAAAATTGCCCTGGGTTGGGTTAAGAACCACTGATCTTTAGGAATGGATTAAGATAAGAAGCTTAATTACACGGACATAGAACAGATTGTGGAAAGAAAAACAAGACCATTCTGACATATAGCATGTACTATACAAACACAAACACCACCACATTTGTCTATAAGAAAAATGGCATAAGTAGCTCATTTAGATTTCCATGAAATGTCCAAGTAAATTAAGAAGCTACATAGTAGATTAAGAGCACAGACACTTTGAAATAACTCTCCAATGGTATATAGATCTTTGTTGACACACAGTAGCTATGCAACCATATGTGAAATTAATAAACCTTTGTGCCTCAGATTCCTCATCTGAACATTGGGAATAATAGCGGTACCTACTTCATAGGTTTTTGTGAAGATTAAATACTTGAAACATGTAACAGAACAGTACCTGGCACATAGTAAGCACTATGTAAATGTTCCTATTACCATCTCCATCATCATAATCATCATCATTTAACTGTTTAGCAAAATTAGTTCCCTTTTCTTCTAATTCCCTCATGAGGACTCCACTATCATGACCTAATTTACCTCCCAAAGGCCCCACCTCACCTCCTAATTCCATCACATTGGGGGTTAGGATTTCAAGAATTGAAGGGGAGTGGGGGGAGGAAGCATTCAGCCCATTGCATAAGTGTTCTGTGGCTCCAGAACCCTGAAGTTCTTTATTTCTCATATGTTAGTAAGCTCCAGGTAGACAAAAGTGGCTAAGGCCATTAAATTAGATTTAAAGAATAACAGGTCACACCATTATTTTGTATGAGCATTGATGACAATGAACAATATGATTACTTGGCTTTCTAGTTCACCATTAATTTCTTCCATCTTTTTGTTTGTTTAACTTCCTGGTAAGGCTACAAAATAAACATACCTAAACATGAGTGGCTAAAACATTATTTGCTTCCCCCAAGAATAAATACATAGTTGGCTAAGGCAACCTCCAGGACTGATGGATGATGGTTGGAAAATCGTGGTAAAAGTTATCAGAACATGAAGATATTTTCTGCCATAAAAGATCACTGTCCATCTCAGCTCTTACCTTTGCAAAGATCATTGTTAGCACTATCTGGCAGCTTAAACTGGGAAGCAATGTATACTCACTGCCCACTTGTTACAAATCTGCCAATATGTTTGCCTAAAAAAAAATTAGCATCTTATGAAAAGCAGGTTTTTAATTATTTTTAGATCTATTCAGTTACCTTTGGACTTATGCAGGCAAACTTATAAAATATATATTAATTTGTTTTTAATAGTTAGAACGTATCTATCATGAATATGCACATTAGGATTTACCTAAAAAAATCCAGATATTCAACTATCCATTAGTTTCACGTATTTACAGGTAGCAGTGCTAAAGCCACGTGGTTCAGAAATGTACCTAGAAACCATTGGAAGAAGCATATGCTATTCCTGAACATATTCTGCAAAAGTGGAATATTTTCAGCAATTTAAAAATACTTTGTCATAACATTCATAAGATAATATGAAAAGAGAACACTGAGACATGACACATATAGAGATGATAATTAACCAATGAATGGAGGACACTTCTGCGTACTTGGCTCTCCCGCCAATGAAAGCCTATCCTAGCCACCTCCAACTTGCTCCACCAACGTAAGAAAGGCTGGTTGCTCACTGTTATCTCAGAAAGGCATACATTTGCAAAAGGATGTAAGTGAGAAGGTACAGCAAGCTTTTAGTTGTGAAAGTTTCCTTTCATATAAAACTAAGTTATTAACTTTGGTTTCACTGAAAAAAAGATTAATTTTTATCACCCAGGCTAATTTTCATGTGCCAGGCTTTAGGCTATGTACTATGTACACTGAATAAACATCTGATCCTAACATACTCTGAAAGATAAACATTACTATAATTTATTTTAAAAATTAAAAAATTGAGGCTTAGAGAGTTCTCCATAGCTAAAAAAAATCAGTAAAAGTAGGAATCCATGCCCAAATTTCACCAACCGCCAATTCCATGTTCTTTCCACTATGTCTCATTATTCCCAGTGCCATATTTGACTTTATATAAACTCAGTGTACAATTATAAGCTGGACTAGATTATATACAGACACACTCAGAAACAAAACTATTTATATGATCTTACTGGTTAGCAAATAACACTGTAAAAGTAATTAATCATACCAACTTAATATTTCATAGTAGGCTAGTCACATTAGTTTTTGCTAAAAGGCTAGGTACAGGGGCTCATGCCTATAATCCCAGCACTTTGGGAGGCTGGAGTGGGAGGATCACTTGAGGCTAGGAGTTCAAGACCAACTTGGGCAATACAGTGAGACCCTGTCTCTACACACAAATTTTTAAAAATTAGCCAGGTGTGATGGTATGTGCCTGTAGACCTAGCTACTAGGGAGGCTGAGGCAGGAGGATTGCTCGAGCGTGGAAGAGTGAGGCTGCAGTGAGCTATGATCATGCCACTGCGCTCCAGCCTGGGAAACAGAGAGACCCTGCCTCTTAAAAAATAAATGAATAAAAATAGTTTTTGCTAAGAGTTTTTCATTCAACAAAACAATTCAGAACTACTAGGTGCCACTGTATATGGTACTGAAATGAACAGTGATTCATGCCTGTCTAAACGATCTTTCAAAGTTAAAGATTTATAGAGGTCTCTAAAACTATTTTGATCCCTAAAGCAGTAAAAAAATCAGAATATACTGAAAATATATGAATATCAAATTAATTATATGCAGATATTACTGTGTTTCCCCGAAAATAAGACAGGGTCTTATATTTATTTTTCCTCAAGAAAACACCCTAGAGCTTATTTTCAGGGGATGTGTTATTTTCTCCTCAAAGCCTCAGCTTGCAGCATGTACAGGATGGCCGGAACCTGACAGGGGGAGCCGACCTTGTTGGTGGGGCTGCCCGCTCCTTTCCAGTCACCTCTGGGATAGTAACTATCACTATGGGGCAGATGAGAAGGGCTGCTCATCTTCTCTACCACCCCACAACGAAATGCATGCGTTGTGCAGATCACTGCATAGCTACGCCCATCACTAGGTCTTATTTCCGGGGTAGGGCTTAAATTGCGCAAATGCTTGGAAATCCTGCTAGGGCTTATTTTATAGGTAGGTCTTATTTTCAGGGAAACATGGTATTCTAAAATAAAAAAGAATGAGATAAAAGTTTTAATATTTGTTCCCACACCTCAACAGACAATTTCACATATTCCCTGAGATGTGCATACTCCAATCTGGACACCACTGTCTTAGGAAACAGCTTCACATTTTAATTCAGGAAAAAGATATCTATCCATTTCATGAACTTAATGGTATCTATTTTCTGAAAGACCAAAAATTTTAAAATGAGATATGCAAAGGACATTCATCTGTTCAAAACAGGCAGGCAGGCAAGCAGGTCTTCAAGAAATAGTAGTTATGATAACTGCAGCTTAATTTAAAAATAAAACTATGTGGCCGGGCGCTGTGGCTCACGCCTGTAATCCTAGCTCTTGGGAGACCGAGGCGGGCGGATTGCTCAAGGTCAGGAGTTCAAAACCAGCCTGAGCAAGAGCGAGACCCCGTCTCTACTATAAATAGAAAGAAATTAATTGGCCAACTGATATATATATAAAAAATTAGCCGGGCATGGTGGCGCATGCCTGTAGTCCCAGCTACTCGGGAGGCTGAGGCAGAAGGATCACTCAAGCCCAGGAGTTTGAGGTTGCTGTGAGCTAGGCTGACGCCACGGCACTCACTCTAGCCTGGACAACAAAGCGAGACTCTGTCTCAAAAAAAAAAAAATAAATAAAAAAAAAATAAAACTATGTCACCTTCATCTTTACTTATCTACAAAATTGGATTCAGAAACAATACACAGTTCTTGTGTTCAAAAAAAAGACAAGGCAACATTCTGATCCTGGGATATGAAATCAAATGTGAAAATGGAGGAAAAAACCATTTACCCAAATTATCCAAATCTTGTACTCTTAACCTAGAGTTGAATTCTGTGAAATGTATAGAAAGAAAAATCAGGAATTGTTTTAAAAGTGAAAGTTAATTTTATGGTTTGACAAATCACTTAGAGATTAGGGGAATTTTAATACTTGATAGTTGGGAAAAAACTAGGAATAATAATAATTGTAAAGGGAGAATTTTTTTTTTTTTTTAGGTTTTTTGGTTTTATGATAAAGGTAACACTGAAAAATAGGAGCTGACACTAATTATATATACTTTGTTTTCTGGCTCTGCATAGGGGTAAAATCAGTTTAATATTACTATTGAATTGTTTTAGCTATAGTGAGAACATGGTATTTAAATGACTCCATGCCTAGAGCTCTGCCAATTTTCTACTGCTGGATTTCTCTGCCTTGAATCTTTGGAACCTTAGTCAATGAAACTTTTGTTCTACCTGCTGTTTATGCCTACTGAATAATCCTCTAGTTGTAGATTTGGCTTCATGTCCCCAACAGAATATAAGCCCCACAATTTGTTTTAATCCCTCTGCCACATACTCAGTGCCTAGAACAGTACCTGACATACTTTAAGCACTCAGTATTGATTTAAAGAATGAAGTCACCCACCCTCTGCACATCTCAAGGCCTCTGAAGGCAGAAGTAAAGAAGGAGCCCATGTAGAGATTAAAAAAGTCTTCTCTGCCAACCTAAAGCCCTCCTTTAGAAGAGGCAGCCTATATGCTAAATGTAATAATGATCCCTGCAGACGACCATGGGGTCAAGATAACACCTGTGTCCTCTGGCAGCTACTTCTGTCTCTTGTGCGAGTTCCTATCCAACCTCTAAATACTTAAC